TTTTGCCAGTGCAACTTTTGTTTCTCTCATTTTCGGGATCTTTTATTACTTTCTACTGCTATCTATTTTCCACTGTATTCAAAATCCATTAAAAAAATCTGAGGGCATTGCATTGTTTAAATTCATTATTAATTATTTGGATTTCACTCTAGAGATTTTAAACAGTAATTTCCCTTTTATCTTGTACTTCTTTATTCCACTTCTTTTCCCCCATAATTGAAAAATGGTTTGTGCATCTGCTTGAGATTATGTCCATGAACTTCATACCGAGAAGCCACCCTAATAATCAAGAATCTGTGTTAACAAGAAGATGCCAACCTGGGGAAGTACCAATGCTTCTACTTGTTAAAAATTACTGTTCCTTCTTGAATACACATTTTCCCTGACTTTCAAGAAATATTTCACAATATTGAATTTTCCTTCTTTTTGTAGACACATCCAACACAAACCGCATTCTTATCCAGTGTTGATCTTCATACTCATTGTTCTTATCAGCTCATGTTACCAGAGGCCATTGCAATTGTTTGTTCACCAAAACATAATGAGTGAGTTCTGATTTTTCTAACTAATGTAGTGATATATTTGCCTACTCCTTATCTTAAAATGGGATCAAATGCAAACAGCACACGTCAGCTGGGATGAAGGACAGGAATGAGTGTATTATGAGTTTGTTTTCTTTAATCTATTTAGACTTGCATTCCAGTCAGTCTGTAAGCACAGTATTTTTTCTGGCATCTTTTTCCTCCCCCCTTCCCAGCTCCAGGTTTTAAATTTTGATTTATTTTTATACTCTGCTCAAACAAGTACTAATGACAGGAGCTGTTTCTGTAGACTTCATTGCCAGTGGCCTACCACAGACCTATCTTCCTTCTGAAGGAGGAAGTGGAAGGGTTAGACATACTTCTGTAGGATGTCATGAAAGCCTCAGTTTTGGGAATAGATCGCTCTTTGCTTAATCAAGTTCTATTTTCTTATTTCATAAAACACAAGCAGTAAGAATCTAGTAAAAATCGTAACTGTAAGAACAAATGAGAAGGTTTATAATGTTAGAGGTTGTCCAGAGATGCTGTTAGAACTCTGTACTCAGAACCTGAGTGGATATGGACCTGGACAGCCTGCTCAATGTGACTCTGCTCATGCAGGGAGGTCAGACCAGGTGATCGTCAGAGGTTCCTTTCAATTTCAACAGCTCTGTGATTAATGTTTGGTGTATTTGACATTTCAAGGCCCCGTGGTTAACTCTGATATTTAGACTGCGCATTTTTTGAGACTGTTTTTCTGGCCTTCTGCCTCCATAGATAACTTCTATGAATCCCATTCTAGTTGGCCAGCTTTTTGTATGAGCCATTCAGGTAGCAGAGCTGTAAATACAGCTGGAATGGTAAGTGCACAAGTGCTATGCAGCAGTGTCTGCATACTTTCTCCAATCTCTGTAGTCTCATAAACTTCATAGCTTCTGCTGGTATCCTGTAACCAACTCTAACCTGTTACTCCTGTCTGTAACATTAATTAATCTGGTGTCATCTTGTAGTTATTAGGTTATTACTGTTTCTTGGTGAAAATAAGTACAGTTTAGTGTGAGTCCAGGGTATCAGAGGTGACTGAGTACCATCCCATCGTCCTTCTATTAAGTTATTTGTGTGTGAATTTCTGTACTTGCATTACACAGACATTGCATAACAGTAGTTTCATGTTTGCTTTCCAGTACTGGCATCTTCAGACTGACTAATGCTGGCATGCTTGAAGTTTCTGCTTGTAAAAAGAAGGGATTTCATCCACATACAAAGGATCCTAGGTTATTTAATGTAAGTATATGATCCAACATGTTTTTGATTATTTGAGTTCTTGTGCATAGTCCTGCAAGCAGAAATTACACCTGCTGCACTTTAGTTTCTCCTATCCTAATAACTCTTCATCACCAATGAAGGTAGACATCAGGACTTTACTTAAGCAGTCAATAGCAGCCATGAGACTTTTGTTATGCTCTGTCATTCGAATAGTACCTAATCACAAGCAGCTGCCATCAGTCACCATATTTGTCCTACAAAGCAGTAAAACTGCTTCTGACAAGTTCTTTGTAACGCTAGGCAAAATACTGTTAGGAATACCAATAGTCATAATGCAGGAAAACAAAAAAAGTTGACTCACCCAGCAGGTGGTGAGGAGTTCTGACTGGGCGATACTCCTGCTCACAAAGCAGCCTTCATCCAGCAGATAATCTCCTTTCTGAGGCTACCCTTTAAATGAGCCCAGTGGGACCCAGGGCCCACCCCTTCCAGTCAAGAGGGAAGCACAGGTGAATTGCTTGCACCTGTGCTCTCTGGGTCAGCCACCTGCAACCCTTCACCAGGTGCTCAATCATCACATCAGGCCGCAACATAACAGTTCCTCTACACACCACTTACTTTCAGAAATAAAAGCTGCAGTTTCAAGAGGAGTTGGTCCTGAGCTCTTCAGTTTTTAACAAAATAAATTAGCTCATCTCCCCCACTGTGTCATTTCAACACAGCATTCCAGCTGCTGAACACTTCATTTTCCATTTTTTCTACTTTCTCATAGGCTTTGTTTAACTAACTACTGTTACCTTTTGATGTTTTAGTAGCATAGTATGCTATGTGTATGGCTGAACAGTATAGACATTCAGAATTATGAGAAATATTACTGCTATCTGAAAAAAACAAAACAACCATCTTTATCTCTGAATAACTGAGATATCTTAAAGGGGGCTCATTTCAAATATAAAATAGTTCATACCTCTGGTTCAAAATAAATAACTAAAAGACATTAAACATTACTTCTTTGTTGTAGGACTCCCATAATATCAGTACTACTCAAAAAGTAAGAGATTTTGGGTTCTGTATTTTGCTTTATTCTTTTATCACTGACTCTAGGGGATTGAGAAGGTAATCTAAGTCTGAAACAAAATCTTAAAGCTTTTGTTCCAGATAAGCTCTTTTCAGTGGTCCTTTATTGACCTAGTTCATGAATGAAGTTACCAGATACTCAAACTCATAAACATTAGACACATTGCTACTATACTGAACACAAAACGTACTGTCAAATACAATTCCCAGAAATACATTAATCTTCCAACAAGAACAGTAAGAGCACAGCATTTTTTTCTTGGAGGAAAAATATCAGAGGTGCTAATACAGGAAGCTTCCTGAAATCTGACTGGAACAACTCTTATGTGTGTCTGTCTGATTTACAACAAAATCTCTTCTCCACAGACCCAACATATGCTCTTATTTAGTCATGGCTGTGTCTAAAGACACAGTCCTAAATGCTTTAAAACACACACAAAAAAAATGTATAGGCAGACACATCTGAAGCTCTGCAGGATGTGAGCAGAGTTCAAGCTTCCCTTGCCACTATCCTCCATGCACACGTTCTAACACACCACACAGCTCCTTCCTCCTCCATTTCAGGTATCCACTGCTGGGATATGTAAAGGATCACACTGTACTACACTCTGTGTCACAACCAAACATGAAGCAATGTCCTCTACAGAAATTTATTTCTTTTTCTATGTTACAGTCCTTGCTTTATACAGCAGTCTACAGCTGTGAAGACAAGGTTTGTCTGTGAACAGGCACAGTGATAGGCGGACTTAAGGCTGGATATATGGGCAAACTATTAAGCAGGCTCAGGAGGTCATAGTCTGAAATATGCTTTTAATTTACTGAAAATTGTTTCTGAATAATGTCTTTTCTTTCACAGCCATGCACCCATGTGGTTGGGAAGGACATAAAGATAATTGTGCTGGATCTGAGGTGATACAGAAGGACAGTTGCAATGTTGCTATAAAAGTGGCCAAAAGAGAAAAATGGCTTCCTGTTTTTCTTACATTTTCAGAAACGACTTTTATATTTATACATTTTAGATTGAATGGTTTGGTATTTATTGCTTTTGCCTGTTTTGGAGTTACTTTGTTGCCCTGTCAAAATGGAATTCAGTGGCATTACCCCTGAAACTGTAGATGTATCATCTCACTAAAAACAACAATAAAATGAACTTCAAGCAACAGTAAGAAAGTCGAAATAAATAATGCTCCTTTTGTAATTTGTTGTTATTAACTGAGAATTACAGATATTTTTAACAGTGGTTGGCTTTTGATGACTTCCAGCTACGTAGATCTATTCATAGCTTCTTTGAATTTACATTGTATGTAGCAATATAGAGGCAAACTCATCAATTCAGGGATTTGTTTTCATCCTTGCATAGCTCAAGTTTATGCTAAGTCATTAACAGAAAACATAATTAAGTCCTTCACCTGAGTGCTGACCATCATTGCATCCTGGAATAGTAGAGAAGAATCAGTCTTTTGGATAACTGTGTTTTTTCCAGCAACTCTCTAGATGAAACTCCTGTGTTAAATCAAGCTCTTATCCTGACAGTGATTTCCTGCATATGGCTAGAGTTAGGTAAAAAGATCTATCTAGAGTTAGAAGGAAGAACCATACAAAGGTATTTGCTCTTACAAGAGTTTATTTAGTGTCTGTCCCAAGAAACCTAGATGACCTAGACTTTAAATAATAAGGTTAGTACAAAAGAGTTCAGAATATGCACTGAGTCTGAAGACGGACAAGATCTGAAACCCAGCAGTTATGCAGCCATGGTAAATAACAGGTGCTGCTGCAAAAAGCTTGCAGGTTGAAAGGTAAGGAGTAACAGGTAGGTGAGATAAATAGATGAGTTTAAGGCAGGAAAATAAGTAACAAAAATAAATAGCATCCTTCATCCTGAACTCTAATGAATACGGATTGCAGAAAGGTCCTTAGAACTGACCTTTTTCAGATCTGTCTCAATTAATTCTTTGGTCATAAACATTTATATATATGTATATATCTATATATTCTTCTAAGACAGCAGTATTGGCTTCAATGCTTATGCGTATACTTCTCTTAAAATCAGTTTCAATGTATTTAAGACAATAAGTGGAATCAGAAAAGTCATAGAAAAAGGACATTGTCTAAAAACATTTTATCTGTTCTGATTACATTACATCCTCCCCTTCAGAAAAACAAACAAACTTCTGAAGAGCAATTGTATTAAGCCAGCTTAATTACGCTTTAGACTTTGCTGAAAATCACAACAACAACATAAGCTACACTCATTCTGAGGACATATAATAGCAAAGTCACCTTCTCAAGCTATTATTAGAATTTAGATATGCTCCCAGAAGGAGAGGTTTAGTTTCTATTAAAAATAAAACCAAAGAAAACAACCATGGAAAAGATATAGCAAGCATCGTACACTACTGGACCACAGAGTATAAGAAGTGCCTTTTCCAGCATGGTAGCTGTGAACTGAGAAGTGATGTGGTCAGATAATATTTCTGGATAGAGCAGATGCAAAGCAGAGTGCATGTGCTCCTCTTGGTATCAAGCAGACACTGTGCCCGTCTGGTGCTGCCCAGAACTTTGGGAATACCATGACTAGTTCTGCTTGCAGACTGAAATGCATACCGAGGCTGAACGCTGGCACCGTGCAGGCTGGCAGCTGAGCGTTTTCTGGCGTTGATACCATTGGCCAACAGGTACCCACTTCTAAGCCCACAGCGCAGTAACAAATTTACGCCACAAGATGGAGCTTCGCACCAGCTGTAAAGGCAACTCCACAACTGCATCTCTAAAATAGGAGCAGCAATTTCATTTGCATATTTAAAATTTATTCCAAAAAATACACCGTATCCAATTAACCAGCCATTACGATGAAAGATTTATGGAATGAAATTTTAAGAATGTATTTTCCTGAATACATTCACAGTAATATGCTAAAAAGACATACAGGGATAAAGTGATTTAAAAGCATTTGCGGTGAACAATGGATGGGCCAGCTTCATCATATTCCTGTTTGCTGATCCACATCTGCTGGAAGGTAGAGAGGGAGGCAAGAATAGAGCCTCCAATCCAGACGGAGTACTTACGTTCAGGAGGAGCAATGATCTGTTTAAGAAATAAAACCATTAAATGCAACGTTAAGCTATGAATTTGTTATACAAAACTATTAAAGCAGTGGTACTTTATATTAGTGAAAACACTGTATGTATGCACTAGTGTCTGCCCTTGCCTTGCAGTTAGCCATTGCAGCAAGCCATAAAGTTACAAAGTTGTTGCCTTGAGCCTATACCCTGGATTCCTCTGGTTGAATCAGTCTGCCCAACACGACATGTGTGTGTGCAGTCATATCCATGAAAGATAAAAGGGGAGGCAAACACTCTCCTAGAGTATAATGGTAGCCCAGAGGGGCTCGGAAGAGTGAATGACCGGTGGAACATTCTTATTAGCACAGCTGACAAAATGTTTTCAAAGAAAGGAAGGGGAGAGCTGAAGCAACAGAAGAATGAATAACTTGTTAGAATCTTTTTCTTAACTTGTAAGCCAATGACAGAAGCAGCAATTTCTACACCTAATTCCCAAATTAATTATATCTTAATCTAATTAGCCAAAAATTGCTGAAGAAGCTGCAGCTCTACAAAAATGTACATTGTCGATTCCATGCTATTCTTCTTTAGCCTTGCTAGGTCAGTTTGCAGACCACAGCACGAGAAAGGAAGTGAGAGGAAAAAAGGCTCCGCTCTCCTTTTAGTAGCCAGGGTGACTCATCCAGTTACCAGGGATGATTTAGTAGAACATACAGACTTGATTGAAAATATGTACAAAGCACTTTGTAAAGAGTTGCTATTTTTTGTTAGATTTTTGAGGATTTTTAACATGTCCCCTCAAATAGTTTATAAATAATTGCACTGTACCTTGATCTTCATGGTGCTGGGAGCTAGAGCAGTTATTTCCTTTTGCATCCTGTCTGCAATGCCCGGGTACATTGTAGTGCCTCCAGAAAGCACATTATTGGCATAAAGATCCTTTCTGATGTCTATGTCGCACTTCATGATGCTGTTGTAAGTGGTTTCATGAATGCCAGCAGACTCCATGCCTACGGAAGTGACAGCAGAACACTGAGGAAGCAACTCCACACAGAGACTTAAAATTGTTAACTCTGAACAGACAATATGAGCTGCAGTTTGCCTTTGGAAGACATCATCTTCAAAGTTGCAGAAACACAGAAAGTCTTTCTGCAGCTGTTTGAAATATTTACTTAGGATCTCCTTCAGGTACAGCCCTCCTTTCCCACACCAGTGTGTACACTCAACTCCTCATTAAAAAGAAAATCCAGGGGTATGGAGTAGTACAGTTTCCAGTAAGCTTTTGCAGACAACCTCACATGTCCTAAGAATTCCTTATATGGTCCTGGAATCATTTGTTTTCTTTGTCTAACTTTTTTTTTTCTCCTCTTTTTTTTTTTTTTTTTTTTTTTCCCTTCTTAAACTGAGCTAGTTCTGAGACAAAACAGTCAAATACCTCTAAGTATGCAGCTACTCAATCTATTTCTGAGCTGACATTCTATCAAACTAGATTTTTACGTGACCTTGCTGCAAGCTTGCCTCCATGACCATTGATTTGTTCTGCAAATGCGATGGACTCTGGATTCAGATTCTGGGGAAGTCTTTCAGTAGAATAAAGGTAGTGCTTTTTGTTCATTTGTTTGTTTTTTAACCCCTGTCTGAAGCACATTCAGACTATAACCCTCATACTATTTAGAAAAGTGTTTCTGCAGCCAAAATTTTCATAGTAACCACTACATAATATACAAAATGGTGTGGGCTCAAAGCCAGAAATAAACACTCAGGGTTTATTTTGGGAAAGCATTTTGCTTCACTGTTTGACATAAAGTTTCTCCCAGTGTATTAATAGTGCTGTTCTGAAAGATTATTTTATAATGGGCACTGGGACTGAGTATACATCTAAATGACTAGCAGTGGGATACAATCAGGAGAAAATAGAGACCCAATGTTTATACCAAAGCACAACAGTCACTCAACCTACCAATGAAAGATGGCTGGAAGAGAGTCTCTGGGCAGCGGAAGCGTTCATTTCCAATGGTGATGACCTGGCCATCAGGAAGCTCATAGCTTTTTTCCAGAGAGGAGGAAGAGGCAGCGGTGGCCATCTCGTTTTCAAAGTCCAGGGCCACATAACATAGTTTCTCCTTGATGTCACGGACAATTTCACGCTCCGCTGATGAGAAAATTCAGTTTTTAGAATGGCACTGCGCCACACTTTCATTCTCCAACATCCTCTCCGTTTTTACACAAATACTTTCTGCCAGGCCTGCAGCGAAAGTACTTTTTCCCTGTTAGATTCTTTCTTGTTAATAAAACAACTGCAGAACCACCACTATTCCTTATAAGGCAGCTAGAAACATTGCACATTAAACAATTCCCCTCCTCGTCTAGCAGTGCATCCTTACCAGTGGTAACAAAGGAGTAGCCACGTTCTGTCAGGATCTTCATGAGGTAGTCTGTCAGGTCACGGCCAGCCAGGTCCAGACGCATGATGGCGTGTGGCAAAGCGTAGCCTTCATAAATGGGCACGTTGTGGGTGACACCGTCCCCAGAGTCAAGCACAATTCCTTTGAGAAGATAACACACAATTCATGCTCAGGTGCTCACAAACAACTGCTTTGAACATCAGTGCCACCCCCAGAGGCCTACCTGTGGTACGTCCAGAAGCATATAGGGACAGAACAGCTTGAATAGCTACATACATGGCTGGCACATTGAAAGTCTCAAACATAATCTGAAATGCAATTAACATCATTAGCTCAGCAGTAGGGATTTTAGCTTAGTTGTATCATTACAACAAAGGAAAGGGAAAATACAAGATTTTTGTATTTAGTGATGGTAGTAACAAGGAAGGAAAATGCATTTAAATCAAACATATTGTCCTTTAAGACCCCTCTGTATCTGATCTACATCTATGATGTATTAATACAGACACATTAAAGATCATTTTGTAGTAGGCCTGGAAACACACACAAAAAAAAAGATGAAAGTGACAACACTTGGACAGACTGGAGTTCTCACATCCAAAACTGATACACAGACTTTTTCAAGTAAATGTAGTAACATAGAAATCTGACACACAGTTACGTGCACTTTCTATCTTCCCTTACTAAGAGATGCACACTACAGAACAGTCAAGTTGTCATGGCTAACTGAAATGATGATGATCACATCCTGCTGAATTCACAAACTTGGAATTATTCCATAGCTGCAGGGTGAGATTACCTGGGTCATTTTCTCTCGATTGGCTTTGGGATTCAGTGGTGCTTCAGTCAGCAGAGTTGGGTGCTCCTCAGGTGCAACACGGAGCTCATTATAGAAGGAGTGATGCCAGATCTGAGGACAATGGCAGAAGGCAAAGGAGAAAAATACCATCAACTAGCAGCTCAGAATGACTTTCAGACAGGTCTAATGTTCCAGCACTCTGCTTATAGCACTTTTGAGACCGGTGAGTAATGTTTCACATGCAATTGTTCTTACTGCCTTCGTAGAAATAACCAAGGTAACTGGAAAAGGAAACACTCAATCCTCAGGTTAGAAATATCACTGCTAACGATAAATGATTTCTTCAAAGGGCACACAGATTAATGAAAATAAATATAACCTTACAATAGGAGAGAGAGATGCACAGGCTTAATTCCAGCTTGCTGCTAACAAGCTTGTAATTAAACCACATGACAAGTGTCATGACAGCATGACACTTTCATCTAAAATTTACCAAGTAATGTGTTAAACATTCAGTTCAAGTGATTGTCTACCAACGATGCACATTATTTTAATACTGATGTACCTTCTCCATGTCATCCCAGTTGGTAATGATGCCATGTTCTATGGGGTATTTCAAGGTCAGGATTCCTCTCTTGCTTTGAGCCTCATCACCTACATAGCTGTCTTTTTGACCCATACCAACCATCACACCCTAAAAAATAACACAAATAGAGTTAGTCTCTCAAAGAGAGTTGTCACAAAGTAGTTACATTAGCTGAGATAAATTCAATTGCCATTGATACTAATTACAAAACACTTTATAAATATTAATGAATGGAGAATTAATTGTTCTTTAATTGAAATGTTTAGCCAATTTAAACCTCAAGTTCATTTTTCCACTACAATTAAAGTAAACAGCACACAAGTGCAATTTTTTGTATGATGTTAAATCGCATGCACACACAAGAAGTACAGTGTCAAATTCATCAAGATGAAGTAGAATGATAGGCTTGTTTTAATGTTCTTTGTTACTTAGGGATGACCTGTCTGCTGAAAGAGAGCAGAAAGGGGACGTTGTGCCATCTAAGGGCCACGATGCAGCAATGCACAATTTTTCAAGCTTATCTAAATCTATGAGTCAGAAGTTGGAAACTACTCTGGATGTACAGTAGTCTCTATGCTTTAAGTTAGAAATACTGTTTAAAAAGCAGTATACTGTAGGATGCTTTGACTACCTAACACTCTTACCAGAATATAAGTCATTTTACGCTCCAAACCTTGGCTTCTCTAACAAGTCATATCGTATTTTTCTACTGTGATTGTATGATTTATTTTTGAGCAATTAATATAATTAATCCTGTCTGCAGAAGATGACACTTGAATTTTATTTTTTTTTTTTAATTGTGGTAATGTTCAAATGCTTCAGTTAGACCTCCTAGAGACTATACCAAAAGGCCTATATTTCACTTGCCATCAATGGTTTGAAAACTTATTAGCTGGGTGCATAAAGTGCCACATCTTACAGTCTGTCAGTCTCTTCTCATTTCAACATGCCCTTAGGCAACACAGAAGAAATAAGGTGGATTTTAAAACCCAGCAGCCAGCTCAGTTTGTTATAGACTAGCTAAGCTGCTCTAGATCTCACTAACATTGATAGGGCTTAGCAACCTTGTATTTAGCAACTCAGCTAATAAATACACTTTGCAAACTATTAAAATTGATGGGAATGTATCATATGCTCAACTGTAAAACTTGAAGCTAAAAATAAATAAATAAAAAAATATCAGCCCTAGAAACCCCAGAAAGGTGTCTGTCTGTGCCACAGTTAAAAGAAGAAGTAAGGTTGACAGGAAGCAGACGGACAATTTCTTCTCCCCTTAGTTCCCTGCACATCATCTGTTGTTTTAGGGCAGTCAAAAATTCCAGCTACTTCTCTGGGATTGTTTGCTTATAAACTAGTTGTATTCACCAAGTTCTCTGGGTGATGCAAAGTGCAGGGAGAAGAGAACATAGAATGAAGTGAAAAAAACGGAGAAGGATTCCTTTCACAAGGCTAAAAATCTGCTTTGACTCAGGTGAGTGCACTGCTGGACACATTTTGCCTATAAATACCATGTTACACAGATCATCCAGGGCTCAGTTAGCCTCAGATGCAGGAAAAGGTAGTTCTGGGATGGAGCACGTCTCCAAACTCAGTATGGAACAACTAAAGCACTTTATCACCTGGTGCCTGGGACGACCCACGATGGAAGGGAAAACTGCTCTTGGAGCATCGTCCCCAGCGAAGCCGGCTTTACAAAGCCCTGACCCATTGTCACAAACAAGGGCAGTGCTGTCCTCCTCCTCACACATCTTCTATGTCAATGTCCTCAGGTGCTCCACACAGAAAATAGCCCTATGAAAACAGCAGGAAAAGAATAATTGAAAAAAACGAAGTGAGGTACCAGAACCCCCCTGTAAGAAAGAGAATGCTGTATAAAAGGAACTGATACTCAGGAGGGCTCTATGCATTAGACATAATTCAAGGTATTCCATAGAACTATTCCAGTCCTGCTGCATGGGCAGACAGATCATTACAGCTTTGAGACAGCAAGTGTTTTTCTAAATTCGGTCACGGAAATCCACCGCTGGGGAGTAGGTGGGAGATAAAGAAGACTGCTGAACTGACAGCTGCAAAAACAAAGGTCCCTTTGCTTCAGATTCAGCATGATGTCCCTTGCCTCTATCATCCTGACAAGACTGGTGCATGTAGAAAGATGATCTCCTGACTTTAAAATGCAATCAAGGACAGCATGTGTTTTAAAACTGCCCATAGTATGTGCTCCATCATCATTTCAAACCAGCTAATAAGCTGCATTTGTAGAATGACAGAGTAATTTATGCTGGCTCCCTGCTTCACTAAAACAGAAATTCTTTTTCTCCTCGGGCAACAGGAAGATAACAAGGGTAACATAAATGCTTTGAAGGTTTGTATTAAAATCAATTATGGAAACAAGCCCTGAATACCGGCACTCGAGAACTATTTGCCCACAATTTATAGTGTGTTAGGGAATCACTTGACTAGCTGGGAGCCCAGGCTTCCATGCAGAGTTCAACAAATTGCAATGTGTTAACAGCTAAAGGAGACAGCTGTCATCCAGCAGCTCAGCTAGCTCTTCACACAGCCGCTCAACCTTCTGCCATGGGAACGTTGGAAGCGCAGGACGAAGCGGCAGTGGTGCCAGTGAGAGTCATGGCTGATGAGCATGGGTGCATGCGGCAACATTCAGCCTCCACAGATGGACAGGCAGGGACAGACTCCCCCAAATTCTTTACTGCTGAAATCCTTCACAGCCATGAGACACGGCTGCGAGGCTGTTTCTGCAGGCTGCAGTTCTGCATGGATGTAGTAGCTCCCAGGAGAAGGCATGGAGAAGGAAATCCCACCTTGATGTACTCCAGATATTTTGTCATTATTACAAGGAAAGGAAAGTAGGTTGCAATTTTTGCATTTATTAAACTCTTGGGAAAACAGGCTCCTTATATTTAAACATTTAGTCAATGGAGTACAATTGTTATCTAACATGAATGAACAGACTGGTTTAGACAAACCATTTCCTAATTAGGAAATATGCTTTCCAACCGTCTGTTTTTGGAACAGAGTTCGAGGTCAGGGGGTTTGCTCAAACCAATGCAGAGAATGCAATGCCAAAAATCACTTGGGGGAGGGGGGAGGAGAGAGCAGGAAAGGCTACATTTCTGAGCTTGGTGGACTCTAATGAAAACCATATTTAGTAATAGAGCACAAAAAGCTGAAAAATCAAAACTGAATCATTCAGGCACGACACTCTGCTTCCAAGGAGTGAGTTACAGCTCAGAACTGCCATGACATCCAGTAGTAACATCCTCCAGCAGCCAAAGTCACTCAGCACTGCAGAATAAAGGAAAATATTCTCCCCAGCAATTAATACAGTATTTAGCCTCTTACTTCTACCTGCTTTACACTGAGAGACAACCAATCACTTCCCCAGCCTCCATAGCATGCTATCAGGAGAACAACTTCAGCCTCACAAGAAACGCTTGTGTATAACATGATCTTTAATAAAATGTTTGGCATTTTGCAGAACATAGTTTCACATATATCAAGACAGCAACAAATACACATGCATCCTCTTTGCATCATATTAGATACTGCTATTTTGCATCTTCCAGCTCTTACAGTCACATTCCAAAACACTCATGTCAATGTAAGCTGATTTAAGAGCACTGAAGCAAAGCTGCTGAGAAATCACTACACAGTGTGCAAATTCACCCATTCAGGAACTCTGTTCTGTCCAAAAGTAACTCCCCACGGGCACATGGGTTCACTTAAATTCCAGCTGTGCCATTACATAGTCTGTGTCTTTATATTACTGTTGGAGTGTTGGTGGAATCGGCAAAATCATCAGATCCATTTCAAAAGCGCTATAAAATAAATACTACTCAGCATAGACATTAAAAGCATTTTACCAATTAAATTCTAGTAAGTAATGTCTAAGCAAACTGCAGCACAGCAGTACATCCTTCTGAATAGCTTCTATTTGACATTACTTAAAGTCATCCAGAAGACCATAAATCACACTATTGGTTCAGTGCCACTTACCCTGACAGTGCTTGGCTGGGGATAGAAGCTCTGGGATGGTGCACTGTGTATCCAAAAGCACAGGGTTATATAGCCCCTTCAGCTCTTCTCCTCCCACCAGCCTCCCAAACAAGGAACAGAGATGAGAGAGACAGAGCCGAAGTCTCTAACAAAACCATATAGGGACCTTATTACAAAAACCTCTAATCTGGGTGGCCACAGGCCCCGAGTCCCTTCCACTGCATTCCAATGCAGAGCTCATGAAACAGGAGGAGACTTTCAGCTGTGTAAGATAAACACTGAAGAACTTTAGGAGAGTTGCTAAAATGCAGTGAGAAAAGCATGCCCATGACAGACACCCTCTGACAGGAAGAGCACACTTTCAAACAAGATAGGGAGGTCCAGGCCTCCACAGGAACATCCAAGAGGCAGAGAGAAAACTGAAGGAGCAGTCATTTGTAATAGGGAAGGCGTTTTTAAGGAAACACTTTGCTTTTGTTAAAGATTTGAATCAAAGCAATGAGAATACTTTCAGCAAGTTAACAGCTGCTGAATTTCGCCACAAATTCACTTTAAAAGGTTCACACTTAGGGATACTGAAAGAAGAACCTGCCATTGCACAGGGTTCATGGTAGAGTCTTTGAAAGTTATGTAAATGTTCTGCTCACAAATTGTTATGGTGCCCCTGAGCATGTGATGGGTGAGAATCAATATCCTGTCTCCATCAGCTTACTTCCAAAGTACTAGGAACTGTGAACAAGCTTCATCCTGGTGTCAATTCCACTGATGGACACAAGTTGTAAATTCCTATCTCAAAACATTCATAATAAAGTTGTGGAATTTCATAACCTCCAGCTAGCTTTGTCGCTGAGCATATTTTTAGCAACTAAAGCAAAGGTTCTCAATCTACGAGCTATTTTCTGAGGACTGGATTTCTATGGCCTCAGCCAGCTGTTCTCTAGGCAGACTGTGTCTCAAGAGCAGCCCCTTTCACAGTCAAAAATACACTGCCCTTGAATTATTACTAGAGATCAGAAATTAGCATCTCTAAACATTATCACTAAAGCACTATAAAATCAAAAACGGCCTATGCACATGAGCCAAGAAAGACACAAGAATCCAAATGAGATCCTTCCTTTGTGAGTCTTGTTGCAACAGGGAGCAGCATCATTTTTGCTTATAGAGTGCTGCCTAATTGAGTAGTCTTAATGCTAGAGATCTCCCACACAACCACAGTGGGATTTCTTCCGCTGCAGAGATTTGAGTACAAGGCAACATGTAAAGATAGCAGATAGGAAGAATTATGGACTGAAGACCAAAAGGAATTTAACTTTTAAGGAAAGGAACTTCTAAGGAATGTAATTGCCTTTGAGGCATAGATACAGAAGCTAACTAGTGTTGGATCATGAGCTATGTAAAAGCTATTCTTAATTTCAACTCTTAGCACTTGGACAGAAAAGATAATAGGTATTAAACAAACAACAACATGCAAACTACCAAGTAAAGCAATCTACTGCAGAGAATATAGAGAGATACCTTCTTGCATACCTTCAACAGGCCCTTAAATGACAGCCAAAAAGAAATAATTTCTTTTCAAACAACATTCAAAACATAGCAGATGGAAATTATGTACTTTTCATATAACTACATTAGATCAGCAAATCAGGTCAAGGGGAAGAAGAATTTCACACAGCAAAACCCTTCACTGCAGTAACATGTCTGATTTTGAGACAAGCATTAATTAATAGAGGAACTTTAATCCAAGGCTTTTAGATCCAGAAGAATCCAAATTAAGGTGAAGATTTAAATGACAGAAGGTTCACTCATCCAAAAAAACATCAAGCTACCTTACTGGTGATGATGCTCTATTGAGTACAGCATGTATGAGATTACAAAGCCAAGTAAATGCTCCTTCAGCAGGACTGCCAATCAATTCACACAACACTTCTGCGTAGCTAGAAATAGAGGCAACAGTTTTCTGCAGGAGACCTTTGTAGACATCATGGGAGGCAGGGGCCATGCAGATATTATACTGTTTCTTCTCTCTGTTAAACATCATATTCTGAGCAGCTCAGCCTGGTGCATATCCCAATACCAGTTGGGGCAATGGCTGCTGGGAGGAGTGGTTGTGTGGGTGGGGAGCATACCTCACTTTGAAATACCTTCCGTGTCATAGGCATCAAAGATTTGGGAATTTCAACTTTCTGGGTGCTTGTGAAAGATACAGATGACACAGAAGTTTACCCTGAGAAGGCAGTTATTGATATGACAAAAACTAGAATACATAGAGTTTGGAGGGACTATTTCCAGGGCATCTGCTAGAGTTAGGACTGTGCAGACTGAAAGGGGGAAGTAAGCCCAGAGACTGACTTAGCAGTAGCTGTGGATACACAGAAGCAGCACAGCAAAACTCTGAAGATGCAGCACAACCATGCCTCCAGCACACAAAGGAGAGCCAGTGCTCTGCAGACAGCTAGTCTCTGGGGTGTTACACTATGGAAGGTCCTAGGACAGGAAGGAAGGCAGGCAAACAGGTAAACTATGCAAGGAAATGAGCTCAGTACAGCTTAAAGAACATTACAAAATACAGGCATTTCTTCTCTTTATAGTGATTCCATTGCTTAAGATATGATCACAGATATTGCTAAATAAAAACACATGGGGAAAAAATGACATTAATAGCTTATACCTTTCTTCTCAGTGACATAGGTCATTGCCAGAGGGGTGGGAAATGGGGAGTGAATGTATGTGGCGTGAGACAGGAGTAAGAACCTAAATAGAACAGGGCAGAACAAGTATTCTGAGAACCAAACCTAAATGTTGGAGATAAAATCTCTGAACTTTCCTCTATGGCTATAGACACATACCAGCTTAGCCCAGTCATATTTCTGTTTTCACCAGGAAAAGAGCAAATACCAAAATACCACTCCTGAAAGCAGCCAACCCCCCCCTGTGGAGGCCAGTTCAATCACCACTTTCCGTTCTCTACTTTTAAGTACTTACGGTGCTCATTTGTATAGAAACCACCAAGTGCAATTTGCCTGGTGTGTTTATACCCCAAGGCTCTACTTCTTTCACTGCATCCATTGCCAGAAACTGTTTTCATGCTATTTATCTGTCCAAAATGTTGTCCATCAGAGGAGTATGTCTGGAATACGACGAGGAAAAGAAAAATAAATAGAAAAGGTTATTTTGTTGCTTTTTCTCCAATATACTTTCCCCTGATCTTTTTATAGCATCACTAGCAAACCTCCCACGTACACTGGCAACTTCTTTATTAACCATCTTTCAAGGTATCAGTGGAAACTCTTAGCTACATGTTTCTAAAGACATGTTCTTCATTTTTCTGTAACTTGTGCATATTTTCATCTGAACAGAAAATATGCTTAGGACTGCATGCCAACAGAAGCTATATGGCTCTGCCTAGGGAACAGACTTTGACTGTCCTGAGGAATGCAGGCTCAAAGGCCATGCACTAGCATGTAGATGTCATACTTTTTTGGTAAAGAAGGGCAGAAGCTGCAGTTTTATCACAACTGCTATAGAAAACTGGGAAAAAAGTAGCTCCTTTACTCATAACATTACAACTCATTACTTTATAAGGGAAAACAGCTTCTCACATGTGCATGAAGACCTTCCTGCTTAGATCTAATTGGCTGCTTAGGAATGAGACTCTGCTAAATATGTCTCTGGCTCCTTTTTATTTGGGGATTCCTTTCATCTTCTCAGCATTAGCAGAATCCTAAAATGTTTCTGTTTGTCTGACTTCAGGCCCTCTCCTCCATCTCAGTGATAGGCTTTACACTTTTCTTCTTCCCCTTCCCCCACCCTCTTAAGAATGGCAGGAATAAGGAAGCTTTAGGGAACAGAAAGTCCTAATAACCTGATTCATTGCAGCTGTCGTGCAGTGCACATCTGTAAAGCATCAGAGCAATCACTACCTGTCAGACACACAGACTGGTCTGCCCTACCACTGTCAGGCTCTAACATCTTAAGACAAAACAGCTCGAATCATTCTCAAGACAGCAAAACGTGGCAGTATTCAACCCGCAAAGTTTAGAAAATAGTTTTGTCAGTGCTGTTTAAGAGCTAAAGGATAGTGTTTGCCTGCAGGGTGGGGCGATGAGCATTTTAATTCACAATTTCCCTTCATCTTCTTAACAAAGATCTTCCTCCATGATAACACTAAGTAAAGTTGCCCCTGATTCAAAAATCAAAGGAAAATACTCAAAGTAAAAATGAGCTAACAGCTCCCTCCCCATCCTTCTTTGATAAATAAACAGAACTTAAGAATGAGTCCTGCTCATCAGGCTGATATCATGTCTTTGCAATTTCCTTCCATCTTAAGCAAATTCTTAAGACAGGGAACAGCGATAATTTTCTTCCTATACCCTTCCAGCTTTCTTATGGGCAGCAGAAGGATTTCTTGAGACTGGATTTTGTATCAATATCATCATGTGTAACAGATGCTGACAGATTTTTTTTTTCCTCCAAAAATTTGCTTGATTTAAACACAGTTTTGGAGATATATCGTTCTCCATGATTTGCTCTGGAAATAAGTTCTGCATTTCATCTGCAAGACACCACCCACAGCTCAAATTGCAGCTGGAATGGACATCCCTCATGTCAGAAAGAAAACATCAAGTATATCAGAAGCACAGTCAAAGGAATGCTGTCTCCGTACCAAGAGCTGCAAATGCACTACAGATCCTGGATCAGTACTTGGGCCACTAGCCAAGGCTAAGCTCTGCCCCACTGTGCCTTAATACAGCAGCTACTCAGTAGCTAGTCCACAGTTCATGAAGACTGATCTGCCCTAAATGACACTGCATACAAGGGTTCCTGATAACATTACATCGACATGTTTCCTAAGAGTCATGAGAGAACAGATTCCCCCAGAATCAGAACCACTCTGATAATACAGTTTAATTTTGCCCAAATACAAATGACATCTTCCTACTGCATTACAGTGAAAAACAAGCACTGTATTTCTAAGAAACTCAGAACACATGGCTTCCAGCTCTTTTCTCCTGGCTCCTTGGCTGGGCACATGCAGCATAACTAGGAGTCACTGCTAGGCAGAACCAGAAAACCTGTCCTCATAGCAAATTCTTTGTCTGCTGGATCAGTTACTCAGCACAACTAACAAACAACTCCTGAGAGTACAGTTGTACCTTTTTTTTTTTTTTTTAGCTTACACAAGATACACTATGTCACAACTGAGGAATGAGCATTAAATATCAATAAACTGAAGGACATTTGAAAACAAGTGGAAATATACAAACAGTAAGAATGAAGTTAACAAAGTTTTGAAAATATCTTAGGAGAAAAAGGAAATGTACTTTTGAGACCAGCATACTACCACATGGAAATATATACACATACATAATTGTCAAAAACAATACACCAAATGCAAGCATATTTAATACTGTATGAAATACTGTAGAAATAATGTATGTTTTCTGTATCAGAAAAGAGCCACGTGGCAATTCAAAGCATTGCAAAATGGATTTGGCTATTTCATATCCACTGCAAGAGAGTGAAAGAACAGGCAGTAAAGTTAGGCACATGCAGTGCAGCAGTTCTGGGTAGCCACATCCATTCAGGTAGAGGCTATCCAGACAGTAGGCTGAGCCGCGTCCAGAGCAATTAACGCTTCTTTTCATTAGCTCTTAGAAGTGATTAAGGGGATTTTACAAAACAGGAAGAAAGATGGCTTACCAAAAATTCCAAGCATGTAACTGGAAAAAGTAGCCTCTTGCAAACTTGTCAGGTAAACACATTCTAACTGCCACAGCCACCAACATAGAGTTGAAATAATTTAAAAGTAAAAGGGGATACTACAATAGATGATGAATATGATGAATATGGCTTTATGAAAATTACTTGTCAAACTTGTTTTTTTTTTCCAAAGAGAAATATTACAAATTTAGGTGTAAAAGATTATTCCTTAAGTTTCTAACTTTCTAAAACATAGTATTGGTAAAAATAGGCCAATATAGAGTTGACATACAGATGTCTGTAAGTCTCACAACACAGCAGCACAGGGATGTTGCTGCTGAGTGGGTGTGACTGTGTGGGACCTTCCCTTCTCATCATTGGCTATGACATTTAATGCTTTTAGCAGTGATCTGAATGATAACAATTACAGATCAACAAAGCGTCTGCAAGTATATTTACAACTTGCTATAATCTATATTGCAGATCTAAAAGAAAGAGTCCTCCCCTGCAGGATACTGTATATAATGTGAAGCCCCGAGAAAAGCTTTTGCATCTCTGACCTGTGCAAAAGGATTTCCACCTCTATCTGTAGGATTTTTGCTGGGTGTCACTTTAGTTGATGAGAACAAGGTGCAGACAAACACACCTGGTAAAGGGGTGCCTAACTTACTGTTGGTGGTAGGAAGGACAGAACAACACTGGTGCCACCCTCTGTCCTCTATGCAGTGTCCAACTGCCTCTGTGACATCTCCCCACACGCATCTTGGCCACTGTCTGGGCCTAGAATAGTGACTCTGTTGTCTTCTGTAGTGCTCCAATCATCTGATGGCCAAAGATGTTTGGTCACTTAGCCAGGATAAACTTACCATACAGCTATTGTTCATATTCTGGCACAGTTTGTGAACTTCTCCCCAAGTGACAACCAAGACTCACAAAAAGACTGAGATAGGCAGGTTTTCACCTTTGCTTTGCAGATGCATCTTGTTTACATAAGGTAGGTCCTTCCTCTTTCTTGCAGACAGTCTTGTCAACTACGGAGAAGCACAAGAAGATGTCATTTTTGTTTAATGATTTGCTTGGTTTTCTGAAAGCGTACCACCATTTTCCAGCCAAATGCTCCTTTTTCCTTTCCCACTAAAAGTGTTTTACATGCCTACCTTTAACTATTTACTCAAATTCTCTATCAGACCAAAGAATATTTTGTTGTTTTCCTTTTTTGAATGTAAGAAAGGGTTGGACATACATTTCTGAAAAAAAAAAAAAAAAGTACAAGAAAAATAAACAAACAAACAAACAGAATTCTACAAAGTTTTCATTCATTCCAGCCTACCTATTTCAAGGTCAGGTTTTCACTGGAATCAATGGCAAGACAAGCTTTGGCTTCGTAGGGGGTGGAAAAGAGAGGACTTGGATCTGATCTGCTGGTTGTCCAGCTGCAGTCTTCTCTGACCTCAGCTGCTTTTTGATGTATTTCTTAATAAGGAAAGGATCACAGGTACTGTTCTGTATTGCCCATACACATGTATTACACACGTAGAGATTGTTACAGACACAGCTCTTGCTGCACACTGGCCTCTGTTCCACAGATGGAAAGCTAACATCCACCCAATTTCACTGAGGTTATCAGGACTTCATGAATATTCCAAGTACTCACGAGCAAAAAATGATATAACATGCTTGTTCATGTTCTGTTCTTCTAGCAAGTCTAACAGCACTAAGTAAAAGACAAGCTTTTTAAACTTTTGTCCCAGAATTACTGTTTCTACCACACTGTCACTGTTCTGGGTACTTCCCAGGTTTCTCTTTCTTTCAGTTCCTCGCTAGTAACTCCTTGAACAGACTTAGTAACTTCTTTCACTGCTGCAAAACACTGCTGTTCAGGCATCTGAAAATGTCTGGACAGCTTTCACAGAAGGATACCAGAACTACACACACATCTTTTGGCATCCTAATTAGTCTGTCACTTCCTGTATCGTACTTAGCTCTCTCTGGGAATTCACTGACAAGGCCAAATGCTCATACCTCTTCACCACAACATAAATCTTTCCTTGCACTCTGATTGGTCTGCATTACACAGCACGAACACATTGCTTAACAAAAGGAGAAAATTATGTAATTAGCAGGTCTGCAGCATAAACACATTTCCCTTTCTGAACTGTATATAAATAAAGCAACATTGGGATAGTAGTGGCAGCATTAAAAACTCAACACCACTCCCACTGCAAACAGCCTGGCCTCCTCAGAAACACGTGCTGCAGGGGTGAGTGGGGGACAACACCACTTGGGAAAAAGGGCTTACATCTGTTTTCTTTTTTTCTGCTTACACCCAACAGGCTGTTGTTTCCATGAACTTAAATCTTCCCTACTTGGTTGATTTTTAATAATTTATAGTTATACTTTGGCAGACTTCTTTGCCAGATCTTTTTTTACATGTAGGTCCTCTAAAGAGAAAACAAGACAGTGGGTTCTGAACCAGGTCACTCAGGAATAGAGGAGCTGTGGCTGGGAGAGCCAATAAGATGCTCCTCGTGGTAAAAGCCCTTCAACACACTAAGCCAGGATGGTCCAGGCTCTGCCACATGTGAGGCATAGGGCAGAGCATCTGCCCCTCTGTGAGGCTGAGGGAGAAGGGAGCCAGCCCTGCCCTGCAGAGGGTGGGAAGTCCCCTGCTACCGACACAACACATATTGACATCCGCTTGGTGCACATGTGGTAAAATCTTAGCTTCACTCGAGAAAACATCAAAATGACCACTGATCTCACATATGGCTCACCGAAGTGACTCAGTAAGAGTGGAGAACCCTTCTGCTTGTCCCCCACTCTTGCAGGAGACAGGCTGGTGGCAGTAGGAGAGTGGGGGATCCCACGCAGAGTGGAAAGAATGCCATTTCAGAAACGCTTGGCTTCAAATAAGTATGTATATGAGAAATGAGTCAGCTGAAAAGTATCATGAACATCCTATCTGGGAACTAAACAGACTGCTTCATCAAACGCCAACATTACTGTATCCCTTGTTGTTACAGTCGCCCCTGGAGATGCACAGGATTATAAACCCATAATTTAATTGCTGTTGAGAACACTGACAGAAAACAATCAACTGTTTTTTCACAGAAATATAAATTAGTCTGTACATACTCCTTTTATCTGCTTCATGCTCACAAAAGATCAACTCAAAGGAGGTTGTGCAGCTAAGCAGAGGAGATATGACTCATCCCTGTCGTTGTGTGATCTGCCCAGGCCTGTTTGTGCAGATGTGCAGTGAATGTGGGTGTGTGAGTGAGGGCAGGGAACTGTGATAGTCCACCAGGTCCAAACCTGCTCCTGCCACAAGTTCACTTCACCAACATTTTGCTCTTGATCATCTCCCTGAAGCTCAAATCCCACTGAAAAAGCACACAGCAGTGCCTGGAGACAAACATTCAGAGTGAGAACACTGCATCCTGTTCTCACTCTAAAAAATGTTTGATGTTACAGAGGATGACAAATTGCATCTGAGATGCTAGTGGGAGGGATAAAATTTTGCACTTCACTGTCCCTCCCCCAAAAGAATTGTAAAGGTTAAGTGATATTAAAAACACAGGAGAGTTGGGAGCACCAGCCACCAGGCACTGCATTATCTCAGTGTGCTAATTTCAATTGTCAGATGATATCCCACAAACAGGAGCATGACAGAACAAAGCTGACAGGAGGTCCTAAATCACAAATGCACAGCATTTGTTACACTTTTAGAAGCTGTGATCAAGGACAGTGTGCTAAGATCTTTCAAGATGTTTCCTTTAGTTTCCTCTCTACCATCACCTTTAATAAAATCTTTGTTAACTTTAAACACATTATGAAAATGCTTTTCCCCGGTGTGTGGCCAGTTTTGTGTTACTTAATACCTGAAATTAAGACATCTGCCATGCTTATTACTTCCACCTTCAGACCAATGGTTAAAACCAAAACTAAATACTTCCTTTTACACACATTTACCTTTTAACTCCAGACATTCCTCTACAGATATTTCTGTCTCACTGTCACTGCTAGGATTCAGCCTTGGATTTTGTTCACACTTGTAGGAAACCGTAACACAGCTCATAGACCAAATCATGCCCAGGCAATGCCCAAAGGAATAGGCTTAAGCACTTCCTCACTCATCCTCTGGAGGACATCTAGACTGCACATTCTTTAGAGCTTTTACAGTTCATCTGTTACACACTGGATAGTTAGCATTTGCTTTACACTAAGCTTTGCAAGGAGAAAGCATGATCTCAGTAACACTATCTTCAAAAATGCTGCTAAGAGAAAAAAGCCTACCAGCAAGCCACTGAAGCTAAGCTGCCAGCTGTAAGCTCTGGATAAGGACAGAGGACTGCAAAAATTTCCAAAGAGATGCATTTACGATGTATCGGGTGGTCACAAAGTCAAATTTTAACTGAGCCACTGAGATTTGCAAAATATTTGCTAAAAAGTGCAGTTTTCAGGATCTCAGCACTCACATTCATCGGGCACATACCCAAACGACTGGGACAGGACAGTCCCATGGCTAAAATAAAATCAATAATCAACCCTAAGATAGAAATACATCTACATTTATGGTAAGGTTATAATGATTGGCTGTGAGAGCTACCAGGCATCCAGCCAATTCGCTTTTCCAGTCTAAAGAAATGCTCGGTTTGTTTGAAAAATGATTTTTTTTCCTGCTGTGAAGAATGCATTGACGTCATCAAACTGGGCCTGCTGAACAAGAGCGTGGAGCAGGAGTGGCATCAAGAAGCTGAACTGTGGGAGTAAGGGTACACATCTATTTTAGCTTTCAATGCCAGGGACAGTTCCCAAGTCTTATTCATCCCCTCTAGAAGAGAACTGCTAAAGGGATAAGCGACTTGTAACAAGTTTCAGTTTCCTGCTGTTTTGTTACATCAGCCACACACACACACAGACCAGAGAAACAGAGGTTCCTGAGACGCTCCCACTGAGAGGTCTTTGGTTAAACACAGCTGCTACCCTGGATCTCATCTGGGTTCAGACATCATCTATATCCCTTGTTCCAGCAGTCCTACTACTGATACTTCTATCATCAGTGAGAGTTTTACACCTACTCCCTTCCCTATCCCCTCTTTTTTATTTTTAAATACACCATCATCTATGGCTCTGCTTGTCTGACTATCCAACTACTATTTCTTCTGACAGCAACATGCCAGAACTCTCCAATCTGTTTAACACCAAACAGCAGCAGCCTTACAAAACAACACAGGAAGCAGCAGAGTTTGCAAATTTCTGAGTTGACACACTGCTTTCCCATTTCTATGCTGCCATGCCGACAGGATGTTTGGGCCCACCCAGGGCTTTGCTACCACATCATCTGTCCAAGATCCTTTCACTATTACCACCAACCTAAGCGGTTATCAGTAGAACTTTATAAAGGGTGAAGAGCAATCCCGAGGTTTTACAAACAGGCCATATCACACTGCAACATAAAAGCCAATGCCTACAGTCACTGAAGATCATTTCTAATATTCTCTCACATTTTCTTCCCTTTTCATTCAAATCAGGTAGGCAAAATACAACTGTTATCCTCCTTAAATTGCACCTTAGGGTAAATCTATTATCTACTGAAGAACAGTCAACATATACAAAAGCAGAAAATGCAAAGTTAAGAGATGAAGACAATTGTATTGAGTTCATTACTATTCTAAATTTCTAGAGATCCTACATCTATTTCACTAACGTATTCCAGGTGTAAGTCTTCTGTGCAACAATCTTCTAAAGTGCATTATAGGTCAAAGGAGAATTTAAGTTTGGTGGAAGCACTTTGGTTAAGTCATATTGTTTTAATCTATATTGCCCAATTTTAGCACAAAAAAAAATAAATTGTTAAATAATCACCAATACACAGAAACCAAAATGAAATTGAGTATTAAAAAAACAGCAATATATTGTAATTAGGAAAAAAAAAAAAAAAAAAAAAAAAAAAAAAAAAAAAAAAAAAAAAAAAAAAAAAAAAAAAAAAAAAAAAAAAAAAAAAAAAAAAAAACCACAAAAAAAAACACACACACACAAAAAAAACCAAAAAAACAAACAAAAAAACAAAACAATGTGTAACAACCAAACAAAGAACAAAGTGGTAGAAAGCAAGTCAGATCTTACGTTTCCTCCCCCCACCCCCTCCCCCGGAACACAAATGTGGATTCAACATTTTGAAGTTCAGACCAACACAATTCACAGATCCCAGGTTTGTGTTTATTTCACTATGACACCTTTCCTTCATCTAAGAAACAAAGCATGAAGGCCTTCTCAAAATTTAGCTGTTCATAATGTCATAATACCCTGATGGAATCAGTTTTAATGCATTCGAGTAGGCTTCTGGGTGAGAAAGAAATAGTTTAATGCCAACTAAGGCTTGAATATAAATTCCCAAAGCCAGAACACTGCAGTAATATGTTTAAACACTCATCCCTATGCCATTTTTGCAGCTATTTTTAACAGAATTTGTTATGATCAGTGCCTACATGCAAGCATAGAACAACAGCAAAACCCAATGCATAAATCAAAACAGCACAGTGAGTAGGTCAACAACTTCACCTTCAAAATCTTACATTTCTAAACATAGAGCCGCAAAGAAGCTAAAAAGTCAGGCTGTTACATGGTAACTGTTTCTTGAGTTGGATCCTTCTGAAATCTGCTCCCAGTTTGCATGTTAGGGTAACACGCAAAGACATCTGCTGGTAGGAAATATAATGCAGCCATCCAAAAGGACTTTGATATACTCAAAAGGTGGGCCTATGGGAACTTTATGAGGTACAACAAAGCCAAGTGCAAGGTGTTGTACTTGGGTCAGGGCAATCCCAGGTATGATTACAGACTGGAAGAAGAACTCCTTGAGTGCAGTCCTGTCAAGCAGGTCTTAGGCTGAACTTCAGCCAGCAGCGTGCGCTTGCAGCCCATAGGCCAGCTGTAATCCTGGGCTGCATCAGAAGAGGAGTGGCCAGCAGGGTGAGGGGGGTGATTGTCCCTCTCTCCTCTGCTCTCATGAGGCACCACCTGGAGTATTTCATCCAGACCTGGGGCCTCCAGCACAGGAAAAATGTCACGCTTTTGGAGAGAGTCCAGACTAGGGCCATCAAGACACTCAGAGGGCTGGAGCACCTCTCCCATGAAGAAGGCTCCAGGGAGACCTCATTATGGCCTTTCAGTATATAAAGGGACCTTATAAACAGGAAAGAAATCAATTTTTTACATGGGTAGATAGTGATAGGACAAGAGGTAATGGTTTTAAACTAAAGGAGGGGAGATTTAGGTTAGATGTCAAGGGAAACTTTTCACTGAGAGGGCGATGAGGTGCTGGCATGGGCTGCCCAGACAGCTGTGTACGCCCCATTCCAGGAGGTGTTCAAGGCCAGGTTGGATGGGACCCTAGGCATCCCAATCTAGTGCTTGATCTAACAGTTGACAACCCTGGCCACAGGGTTCCAAGAAGTTGGAACTTGATGATCATGAGGTCCCTTCTAGCCCAAGCTGTTCTATGATCTCATACTTTTGCACAGAACTCAGCTGACACATGAAGTAAATCTTAGACTGTGGGTAAGTAAGAAAGATGTTCAAAGCTGCCACTTCTGCCAACCCAAAAGTGCTGTTACAGCCCAAAGAAGAGCACAAAGTTGGGCACAGCAGAGCAGTGCTTTCATCAACACCACCTCAGAATAACCAATCAACAAACAAATACCCTCCAAACACACCGCTCTCTCTGGGTTTGCATCTATTACACAAGGAAACCCCAAACAGCTACAGTTACCAGCTACAAGGCACAACTCCAAGTCATGGGCAGTCACTCTCATTTTCACAAGAAGGTGGTGGCTTCTGAAAGATCTCTTAGAGCTAACTACTAAGAAAAAAACACTCCACCGCAAAACTGATCTACACATGCACTCAGTTGCACCTCCTGGGGGGCAGGGAGGAATGCAAACGACTTGCACCAAATAGACTTTCCTTACATTACAGGAAAATATACAGCAGTTAGGGCAAGGGGAATACCTAGGTGTTGTTAAATGCTAAGCAATGCTTGGTCAGGGCCCAGTCATGTTAGATTTTGTTTACAGGACAAGCCACAATCCTGTAAGTGATGAATTTGGAAATAACACTGTTGCAGTGCAGTCTGCAGAGCCAGGCAACACTGTTTGCAGTAACCTCTTTACCCTTGTGCAAACTTCCGCTAAAATAAACAACCCTGAGTGCACACCAGTTTGGGTCTGGCCTGTAGGAATGACAGTCACATAGCAAAGGTACCACACCAAGGAGGGGTGTTACCCCCCAGTTTCTCTCCATACTGCCAGTGGGAAGGAAAAGAGCTGATTGCTACAGGATACTCCAGATGCAGCAGCTCCAAAAACTGTGTCACTGATGCAATTTGTTCTGTCCGGAAGTGGTCAAAAACCCAAAATATTTAAAATGGCATCTTTTTTTTTTTCTCTCTCTCTTTTTTTTTTTTTTTTTTTTTTTATGATACACTGAACTCAGTCATCTGCAAACATGGCAGGTAGGAGACAAACCAATAGAAATCTGAAGAGGTGAGTCATAAACTGCTGAAAAATGGAGCTTAAAATGAAAACGCCAGCTCAATTACAACCTTCTGAAGGCAGCGGCATCACCTCGAACATCAAAAGACGCATTGGTAACTGTTACTGTCACGTCAATCCTAACACAGCTAAGGAGGCAGCTATTACATAGGAACTCTGAACCGCTGAAAGTCTGTAGGAAAAACAGAAAGTCACTGAAAATAGCTTTGAAGTCACAGAAATCCTTCCAACGAGACAGCACAAGAAAGCACAATGCACTTAACTCTGTCCAATCGCCTGCTGCGCTCCTAGGGATTTAGGATAGAATCTTACCCTGCCCCACGCTGCCCCTACCAATACCACACAGCGAGAGCACAGCACAGCCGCCATCCAAGGCTGGCTCCGGGCTGCGGCAGCCAGGACCGTCACACCCGCGCTGTGCAGGGTGCCCCCTGAGGGGCCGGGCCGGGGCGGGCTGGAGCGGTGTTTACCAACATGGGAGGAGCCGGGCCCGGCAGAAGCCCGGCGGCTTTCGTTTTTCAGGCGGGTTGCGAGACGGCGCTGCGCGGGGACATGGCTCGGGGATTCTTCCACCTGCTCCTCGTAAGTAGCCGCCGGGCAGCGGGGTGCCGGGATGGGACGCGGGGAGCTGCGGTAGCGGTGCCGAAAGCGCTGCTCGGCCGCCAAACAAACTTGTTCTATTTTCTTGGGGAACTCATGTAATTAATTCAGGTTCAGACTCGTCGCTATGTTATAACCACCGCGTAGGGCGGCGGGCGCTGAGGAACAGCGGTGGGAAAGAGAGGACGGGTGTCGGTGGGGCTGCTGCCCATGGCGACGCTGCGGGGCGCGTACCGTCGCGGTGCTGGGGCACGGCGGCCCGGGCCGGCAGGGAACGGCTGCGGTAGAGGAGCTGCTGGTCATGATCAGCGGTGAGCCCAGAAAAGCTGGAGACGTTGAACGTAGCACCCTGAGCCGAGGCATTTACTGGAAAGCGGGGCAGGGCGTTTCTTTCTTGCGTGAATCATTGCCCCGTGCAGAGTACACGTCTTGGTACCCTCAGGGCATGGGTCAGCCGCCTACATTTATTACTACCGATGAAGATACCTTCACATCCATTTTGCCACATGGAGGTGGTTCAGCACCCGCAGCGGGAGCAGCCCGTAGCGCAGGAGCGTTAGACCAGAGGGTCGGGGAGACCCGGACGCCGGCTGCAGCTCCGCCCAACGGGGGGACGGCGGGGAGCCGGCCTGAGACAGCCAGCCCTGTGCCATGGCAGAGCTGCACCTGTCCATGCCTGTGGACACAGCATGCGTCACTGCCCCAGCCCGGCCCTTGCCCCTCGGAACGTGCTCGGATTCACACTCACAGTCTCTTCGTACTGTGGTTGCGCTCCCGCTGAATACGAGTTGCCTTGGGTTTGGCAGGTGTTAAGTTAGAAACCGTGCAGATATGATTTATTATACAACAGGTAGTAAACAACTTAAAGGGATTTATAACGTGATTTGTAAGGTTCTACCCACACTCTTGCACAAAATGTAAGTAAATACAAGGAGCTGCCAACGGAAGCATGCGTTATCTCTTGCTGTACAGGCAGCAAACAAGCGGCAGAAATGTTAGCCTAGCTCAGTGTCTTAGAGCTATTCAAAACAGAAATTAAGATTTAAAAAATATATTCTCTTATCTCACATCTTCCGGAGTAGGAAGATCATTCCTACTCTTACTTTCCGATTGTTTCCAAACAGCACTCCTACGTGCATTCTATTTAAAAAGATATATATTTTTTTATTAGCATGTGGTTCCACTACTTATAAATCAGTAAATCTGACAATATTTGACCTACTAACTTGATTAAGCCAGAATGTGAAAGGTGTCTGCTGAATTAGACCTCAATTTTGCAAGCAACCCTCTACTGTGCTAAAGTAAAAGCAGTTGCAAGGATATTAATGCAAAATAGCAATAACCCACAAAACTAGAAAACATCTAACTTCACCCTGTAAAACAATCCACAAAACCACATATTATTCAGAGATGTACTCTAGAGAGGAATAAGCCATCTTGCGAAATGTTATCTAAATATTTTGTAATGATTTATATGATTATTTACAAAGCAGGCAGTCTTCTGGAAGGTTAGAAGATATGCCTTTGAAAACAGTCCCACACAGCTGTGCTGACCCCTCCTCCTTGCTTTGCACAGGATTAATACAAATATTTAAATGTATGCATATAAGCAGCCGTAAAGTCATGGGATGACCACGGACTCAACTGAACAGTACAAGCATTCCAGCTCTTTAGGAAAAAATTCCTAAATGTCTACGTGTCCACCTCTTGGCCACAGTATCACAAAGTGAGATGGTAGCTAGTAATACCCTCCAACTTTCTTAAAGTCAATAGTGTTTATCAGTACAGTGCTCCTAAAAAAGGAAAATTAACAATCATACTACCCCCATCCCCAAATATGTTGCTGTGATTGGCATGTGAGACAACTGAGACGTGAAATAGTAATGGATTGAATTTGGATTGCTATTTTAAGACATGACAGTAACTGAGGGTTGTTGCCATCACAGGCACTGAACATGTGCATCTCACTTAAGATTTCAGGTGGTTGGAATGCTTCTATTTGTGGGGAAGTACCAACCCATTGCTAGGCCTCAGAAAATAAAATTGCTTTCTTAATTCTCCTCATACAAGAACTTAGAACATGAAGAAATACTATCTTTAGTGCCCACCTTTGTGCTAGCTACCAACTTCTGCGTTAGTGGAGAAAAAAAGAGATGGTGAAAAATTGATACTGGAAATACTGGAAGTAGTCATTTTTGTTGTACTGAAAGAACCAAAGCAGAGAATACTTGTAACAGGCACTATATCATTCCTCACTCTGAAAAAGCATCTTGAAGGGGCTTGCGTAAGTGAGACTACTTACAAGGAAAGCTGTACTAAAATGGAACTAACTCTAGAAAGTCAAAGAAATAACAGAAGTTAAAAAATAATAATAATAAAGAAAAGAAAAGAAAAGAAAAGAAAAGAAAAGAAAAGAAAAGAAAAGAAAAGAAAAAAAGAAAATCCTCAAGTCCTCCCTCCCCCTCTTGTCTTTTTTTAACACTCAGAAAGCCCCTGATGACCTCATGCATGTTGCCCCAAGTAATAAACATGGAAGGAAAATAGCAACCAACTTCTGAAAGCATCAGCTCTCTCATCTGTAGGCATCTATGGCTTAGGAATGGGAAAAGTAGCTTAATAAAGATCAAAGGTATTATAACAGAAAAAAAGCAGTGACAAATTTTTACTTAGAGGGTGAAATACCGTAAAACTTTTAAAAGTCTTGCATGCAAGTAACAGATTCATGCACTTCCAAAGTGATTTTACAGCCCCACGAGGTGTGCCTGCTAAAAGGTTTCCGGTCAAGGAAGTTGACCCATTATGAAGAACACTTGGATACAGGAAGAATCTGAGGACTGAGAGTTACAAAACCACAAGTTTTCAAGGGAACTGTAACTCTTGTCACTGCCTTGGGAACACAGATGGAGACAGATTTTCTACCTCTCATGCTGTTGCGGAAGGCATTTTGTAGGAAGGAAAAGAGGAGAAGGAGAAGATAAAGGTCTCTCAAATTCCTATGCAATGCAGAAAGAGTAAAACCAAAAAATTTGGGCCCACGCAATGATTCTTACGGAACCTGTTAAGATCAGATCTCCCTGGTTGCTTCTACAACTGTTGATTGCTCAGTTCAGACAAACTTTAGATACGAAAACTGTTATTTAGTTTAGGATGAGAAGAGTAGAACAAAGCATTTGTGAGTCATTTTAGACTGAAAACACAGAGTCTCCATTTGAACATACACATCATTAAAAAGCACCTTTCACTCCTGCCTCTCTGAAACCCCCTAAAACGCTTCCTTTCTGCTGGCTGCACTCACTGCTCAGCAGCAGCGAGAAAAGGAATTAAGCTGTGCTCTGAATGCTAAACAACAGTCCAACACTTATAGAGCAAGTGAAATTATTTTAAGAGGGCGCAAAAACAGGAGAAAAAAAAGTTTTCAAAATTGAAATGTTACTTGGAAAACTAAAATCTTCAAACTTCTGTCATTATTCCTATGCAGGAAGGCACTGCATGGAGCCCCTGCAAGCAGAAGCTATGTAGGTGTGCGTGCTGCTTAAAGTCAGTTTCTGAGAAGTGATCCCCACTTCTTGTAAGTGTACCAGGAAGTTCATCTCTGCAAGTGACAGTGGCGGGCTTCCATCAAAAAAAAAAAAACAAAAAACACACATTTTTGTCTTTCCCCACTCTATCAGCTTAGTTTGTCTATATAAAAATGCAAAATTGAGTTTTGCTTGACAGAAGTGTGTCCGTGCCTGCACTGTGATTGCAGTGGTTCAGTAAACCCTAAAAGCAACTCTACTAACTTTTACTGATAGTAGTCATTTAGAAAGAAGTTTCCTTCTTTCATTTTGTCCCATTTCCTACATAATTCTTCTCTACGTTTTCTTTCATGGCACACATCCTGTTCCTTGCCAGCAACATTCAGTTCTTCTGCCATGCCTAAGAGAGGTTTATAGATGTGTTAGGGATGCAGTAGGGCTGTGGTAATCTTCAATCTCCATTACTGTGGCTTGGGGTCATCCTCTTATTTCCCAAAAACCACAACTGCTGCTTCACAGCTCTAAAGTGGGAGATTTGAGTGCCAAAAGCAGGATGGCAGCTGCTCCCCAGCAGGCATGTTGCATAGGGCAGATAAGGAGGAAGGAGCTGGCTTGGTGCTGTGGTGGGGCAGAGAGTGCTGAGATGCAAGTGGGCGCATCCAGGAATTGCCTACATGCTCAGGGCTGGCACTGCTGCTCATCATTGCTGAGTCACAGTACCTCCATCAGAGAGGAGAGAATCAGTCACTTCCCCACTGACTTCCTCATCCTGCAAGCGCTGCTTGCATCTGTCCTCCACATGCACAGATGAGGCTGAAAGCCTGGTGCCATTGAGTTTCCTGGAGCTGGCTTCCTCAGAGCTTCCAGGGCCTCCAGATCCCAACTCCCTGCACCATTTTCTTCCACAAATGGATGCTCTCGGTCCAGCTCAACAACAGTGCACCCACCAGTTCCCTCGGCCCAACTCCACGTGTGGCAGAAGAGTAGAGACAAGGGGCTCTGCCATGGGAAGCCAAACCAGGCTGATGCCAGGCAGTGGTGGTCATCCCTGCAAGGCTGCCCTCGAGGCCTGGCTCCCAGAGGCAGCAGCATGTGGAGCAGCACGCACCACCACCACCACCTGACAGAAAACAGGCACTGCGCTGCAGGGTAACTGCCTTCTGATTGGACTTTCTATCCCAGCTGTTCGACTGATCTCCCAGGCAAAAGGAAAACAAATCGCATTTGGCACATCAGTTTGAGAGTTTCTGTAAAAGCTTACTTTGTAAGCTGCTGAGAAATGTGTCCTGAAAGCTTAGGCACTAAACAAAGTCAGAGTGCTGAACAAGAAGAGTGATGTACCCAGCTCAAGCGTTCAGTCAGTTTTTTGGCTGCTGAAACATCTTTTCCAGGTGCAAACAAAAGGTCTTCCTAAGTTCCATCTAGGAGCTAATAGGATATACATTTTGAAAAAGATGAGTATTAGGAAAAGGTTCCTGTCTATGAATAGCCTAGAGGATCAATGGAAGTGGCTACTTGTAGAAGTCTCCAGTCACTGTATTGATTACTTCTGTTCATTAGCTACAGATAACGCTTCCTTGACATGAGAAGCCAGTCTGAAATCCAACTCCCTTTTCCAGTAAGTTAATTACATACACTTTTTTGCATCTAACTCAAGTAATAGCATTGAAGCAGTTTCACACAAAACCATGAGGATTGCATGAATTAGCCCGTAAGTATCATCCTCTGGCAGACAAAAGCAACAAAACCCAGGCATTATACAGTTTAACTTGAGAATGCATTCAAAGAAATAGCATAGGGCGTAAATTAGATAGAATGGAGAATGATACTTCTATAGGACTGTATAAAGATCATCTGCTGAGGAGAAAAAGGAGCTGAATTGGAAAGCAAAGTAAGAATAAGATCAATTTAGAAATCAGGTATTTGGGATGATATTAAAGCACAATTATTATTATTATTTTCTTTAGAGAATCATTAACATTCAGTTTGCAAGCAACTTGAGAGTAACAAAAAACATAAAATATACCATTTGAAATAATGATATTCTGTAAGCTAGAACGTTATCAATGACTCAGAAAGGGAAGACTGAGGAACAGTGATGTGATGCACAGAATGCTTTTCAAGAAAATAATGGGAGTTTCTTTGCTTTGCACCATAATTAGGCATAGGAGGTTATCTTTCACATCTCAGATGTATGGGCCTGTTCTCAAGCATTAATTTTCAAACAATCAGTGCCTGCAATGGTAAAGGTGATAGCATTAAATCTAATATGTCTTCTCATTTTCCATTAATTCTTCTGGCCTAATAAACAACTTCAGTAAGGGGATGAGTATCAACATCTTTAGCAATGGAATAAGAGTGCTGATGTAGCTCTGTGCTAGCAGTAACATGAACCTACAGTCCTTGGTAATTTCCTATATAATTTGCTGTTCTTCTCTCCTAGGTGGTTGTGTTAGTTATGGAAACACACTGCAAAAATGATACAGAAGTTCCCGTACACGTAGCACACAATAGATCTATTACAAGGAAGAGAAACTTTGCTAAGCGACAAATTATCTGTGCAGAGGAGGAATACATTTTAAATGGTCAGTGCTGCAAGAAATGTAGACATGGTGAGTATCATTATAAGACCGTGCTGAAAAGTCATTAAAATAAAAACCACAACACATGCACGTGCTTTCTTCTGGGACAGCTCAGTTGTGGTCTTCTGGATGCACTTCATTCTAGCCATATCTTTCTCTACTGCAGGACTTCAACACATCAAAAGCATTTCTTGATTCAGACCACCTGTAGTTTTTCACTACAGATCACACATTAAATGCTTGTTACAAATAATAATAATAGTACTACATTACTTACACAGCTTTAAAAGAGGTTAAAAAACTGCAAACATGGGGTTTTGCCAACAAGATACTCTATATATTCATGGGTTTTCCAGTTTTGTGTGGACAGTTTTGTTTGGTGTGTTTTCTTTCTCTCCTAGATTGGAGAAATAGGGAGGGTGGGAGAGGGGGTGGGGAAGATAATCATCTCTTACGTATACAGCCTTCCTGAAGAGAATATATGTATGCATAATGACTATGGATTCTATCTGTATTTGTAAATCGAAAGGTATTAGAGATTAAAAAGAAGTCTGATAGGTCTCAAAGCTGATGGCCTTTGTCCAAAGGTATTACATATGTTTTTCTTGTTTCTCTGTCTCTCTGCAGGTCATGTCAAAAGTACTGAGTGCCCAAAGACTCAAGAAAGTTGTGTACCATGCAAATCTGGAGAGGAGTACATGGATCATATCAATGATTTGGACAAGTGTATGAGATGTCGTTCATGTGACATAGCACTCGGTATGTCTATAGAAACAGCAACTGTTTAGAGGCAGGATTCAATTGAAAGATCTTTGCAATCCCCAAGTAACGGGTAGCACATAGATTAAAACGTTTTACAAGTTTGACATGGAGAAGTTTATGACAAAGTCTTAAACTTATCCTCTGGTTTCTCTTCTAAGCACAAAGTAGGAAGAGGAACAAGCTATGTTGCTCCATTATTTATTCTTATATCTGTCTTTGCTCAGCTGGGAAGCATTTGGAGAGTAACATCCCATCTCTTCCACACTTGCCTCTGAAGTGCCTTTCTTCGCACAGAGGCAGGTAGTCCAACCTGTCCTGAGGCACTCTGATGTTGCTAGTTTGATTTACAGCAGTTAATGCTTATGCACTAACCTCAACTTTGGGTTATGATATATTCCTATTAGATTATCTTACAAACACTATATTATTTTATGAGCTATAGTAAGGGACCGTACAGACAGTGATTTTATTTGGTATGTAGTAGCCCACTCGTTAGAAGCATGACAAATAGCTTCACTCAGTAACTTCACTGATCATAATGTAGGAAAAAAAAAAAAAAAGACTGACAGAATTCTACACCTTATTTCCTTCATCAGTCCTGAGATACAGATAGCTTCCAAGTTCTCAGAGGTCATGTATTCCCAGAAGTCTCTGTTTATCTTTAATTGCCCTCTAAGTACATAGAATCATAGCATCGCTCAGGTTGGAAAAGACCTTAAAGATCACTGAGTCCAACTGAAAGCAGAACCGAACCATACTACCCTAACTCTAACAACCCTCTGTTAAATCATATCCCTGAGCACCACATCCAGTTTTTAAACACATCCAGGGAGGGATGAGACTATTCCAGTGCTTAACAATCAGCTGATGTAAAAAACAAACAAACAAACAAAAGTTAATTGTAGTTTTGAAGTTATGGTGGAAAAGTGAAAAGTGAAATAGGATATAAGAATCAATTCAGTTTTGAGCATGGGCTTTTCTTCTCATTAAAAAAAAAAAAAAAAAAAAATCCAATACAGAATGCTTAGAGTCAGCGAAGGAAAGTTTGCTCTCTCTACTTCATCCTCTGTTTTAAAAGGAATGTTGTAAGAAGCAGAGAAGGGAGCATTCCCAGTCTTTCTTGCAGTGAGGGGCCCAAAACTGGACACAGTACTTGAAGTGCAGCCTCACCAGAGCTGAGTACAGGGGGACAATCACTTCCCTTGTCCCTGGTGACAACACTGGCTCTGATGCAAGCCAGGATGCCATGGGCCTTCTTGGCCACCTGGGCACAATGCTGGCTCATGTTCAGCCGAGCATCAATCAATACCCCCAGGGAAGAAATACACAAACCTAATTTCTGTGTTCTAATTCCTGCAAAGGCTGCTAGCATTCACAGTTGTGGGAGAGGATATTTGAAGGTCCATCTCTACCTAGACAATTTCATATCTATTAATGAGCCCTTTGTGTATTTATCTGCTGGGGGACACCAAGTTTCAAAAATCCAGTAACAGTCATGTGTGTGTGTGTGTGTGTGTGTTTTAATTCGTAAAACACATCTCCCTGCCAGTTTCACCAGGTGTCTGGTATAGCTGGATTCAGGGAAGGATAGTTCTGCATTCATCACATCAAAAATCCAGATTGGTAAGCAGAGAGGCAGATTTTAATTCCAATATGGTGGAAGGATGGCTAGTCACATTATCTCATGGAAAATAATGTTGAAGAGAAGTTAGTTAGAAAGTGCTAGGCAGGAGGAAGGTTACCACCTAAGCTCCATGAGAACTATTCTTAGGATCATTTAATGTTTGGTATCTTCATGAATAGCATCAGTTTCACAGTAATCAATTTTTAGAGATAACATGGTTTCCTGTTATAGCAGGGCACTGAATATGGTAACTCAAATGTTCCCTTCATACCCAAGAAAATAGCTTCCATAGTAAATAGATCTACTTACAATATTTTTAAGTGCAAAAATACTTCTTTTTAGATGGAGATCACCTCTTCATACACATTGAGGCCAGAAGAAAAATAAACCTGGTTTGCAACTTATGCAGGGAATGTGTTAGATAGAAGGAGTAGAATTCCTCACTATTGAAAGTTCTCAGGAAGAGATAAAATCTGTCTGACAGACAGACAACCAAGAGATGGGTTATGTGATATCTTTTAGTCCCTTATGGCTTTCTGACAACACATGGCAATGCCAAGAGTCCTTTACTGTGTGATCAGCTTTTTGAGCTCTTAGCCAGCAGAGGTCTCTTTGCCATCTTGGTATTTCCAGTACTCTCAAAACAAGGTTCATTATAAAAGCTACATTGTAATTATTAAGTGCTGCCAGCACCAGCAGTGGTGGTGCTAAAGACACGCAGGTCTGAGGACAAGAGCTTTGTGAGCAAAGCCCTGCGTTTTCAAACTAACGAACTTTAAGAATTCATTTTAGGTTGGAAGGTTGTAAAGAACTGTACCCCAACAGAGAATGCAGAATGCTCCTGTGCAAAGAACCATTACTGCAAATCTCCTCAATGTGACCACTGCGAGTCATGTACCATGTAAGTGGATGCCTTCACTGTTAAATATGAAACTGTTAAGATCATGTTATCACACTTTTTTCCAGTCAGTTTCAAGACAGAGGCTATGATAATATATAAGCTAAGAGAAAACAGACTAGTTTTGCTTTGCACTTAGCTTATTCAGCTGGCTTTGCTCAGTCTACTTAATTAGAACGTGTGCAAAAAACATAAATACACCAACTCTGTATATACTCTTCAAAACCTCTAATTAAGTATCTAAGCTTTCCTGTTGCTTCTGTGTGATCTACTGTTATGTCATTTCCATACTTTTTCCCATACTGTTTTCATACTTGTTAAGTTCCAAAGTCCAGCATCCTGGTGTATGACACCATTAGCTGATTAGAAAGCAATAGAAGATTGTGATTGCTCTCTTAGGCAATTTATAAAGAGAGAAACAAATTCCACAATCATTTATATTTTCTGCAGATGTGAAAATGGCCTAGTTGAAAAGGAATGTACTTCAACTTCAGACACTGTGTGCAGAATGCAAGGTACCATTTTAAAACCTAGTCTGCCAGTATTAAAAACCGTCTGCTGTATTTTGAGAGGCTATTGGAATTGTACTGTGTTCCGCACAGTGCACCATAGCCATTCCTGACACTGTATCTGCTGGGCCTTGTACTGACTTACGGAGCATGATTGCTCTTTTGATCACAGTGGAGATGGGGTGGCTCAAGTGCTACCTTCTGCTATTTGGAGACAATAGAAGGGTCTCTATAATCTGATGAAATCTTGTTAAATTTTTCAAGCGTGTTGCTGTATTGCAGTATGACTTAACTTTAATGTAATGTTCCCAATGTTCCAACAGAAGCAGGAATGCCACCTTGGGGCACTGCACTTGTCATATCTGTGATAGCATTAGCAGTTGCAGCAGGATTAATACTCTACTGTAAGTGATTCCCTGTTCCTTGTTACTGCCATACTCTGAGTAAGATACTCAGCTGCTTATGTAATTTTATATTCTTGGAATCCAGAGAAATAATTGCCCTGGATTATTAAAATGTTTGTTTTATTTTTTAGGCAAAAGAAAACAGAAGAATTTTATTACACAAGATAACAGAGCCAATGGAAGAGACAGTTCTAATGTAAGTACTGTTGCTTAGATCAGATAAAATTCGGCTTGGCTTACTGTGGGATTGCCCAAGCGTGTGCATGCCTCTCTTCTATAGCATCAGCGAAGTAAATTCCACTGTGAGGAATCCTGGGAGAAGCAAAAGAAACTCCATATCCTTTCTTCAGGATTTGCTGTTGCACTCAGTTACACAACCAAGACCAGAACTTCATAAATCATCATACCTCCACAGAACTGATATCCTATCCCTATGCATATTTGTATTCAGTAGCAATTGTGAGGTGACTCCCCAAACTTATTCAAGTGAAAAGGAGGGTCCAGTCTGACTCCATATCTCATAAAACAGAAGAAACATAGAGAAAGCTAAAAGAAAATTTCAGAAGTGTTACGACATCTATTCATCCTCTTATATGGGGTTGGCCTTTTATAAAACATTTTTGCACTCATTTCTTACTTGCTTCTCTTTACAGGAGACTTCAACACTCATATCTATAGGTAAGAGACAAGTAATTTCTCAAACTTCAGTAAAATGAAAGTCCAGACATAAACTCTATACTAAAGAAAGGGTATTTTTCTGTATAGACTGCCACTTTGTAGAGCTGTCACTCTGGCACAACTGTGAACACTTATAGAAATGCCAGGTCATGATGTGCTTAAGGCATTTAGTGATGCCATTAAACTTCTGCCTGAGGAGGAGTTTCTGTTGTATAGGAAGCAACTACTGATTGACAACAGGTAAATTACTATTCTATATATGGTACAGATACTAGGAGGCAGCAAGCTGGATTTCTAAAATCATGGATAATTCTAATAATTGAGTAACCCTGCAGCCAGCAATGGAATCAAAGAAACAGGACCTATCTCATGTTCGTGGGCAAAAACACAGTGGTAACACTCAACAGGAGAACAATACAAGCTCTGAGACTACATAATAACAAAAGACCTGTCTTGCTCTTTTATCAGCGCTATTTTGAACAAAACAGGTAAACAAGGCATGACAAGGCTTTGTAGTGGTTACAGATGATGAAGGGGTTACAGAGGAAACAGATTGTAGTTCAGGTGCCATAAGACAATACAGTTACTTAGTACAGAATCACATTGAAAACATATGGAGTCATGAATATCTGAAACTTGTCCTGTTTTAAATAGAAGTATCAGCTCTGAATATTGATGATAAGAAAGAAAGAAAAAAAAAAGCACACGAAGCTAACAGATGTCAGTGCCAAGGGCATTCATTTCTTTTTATGTTTCTAGATGATGAACTGAGCCGCCATATCCCTGACATTGTGGGGGAGATGACACTAGATGAGGTCAAGACATTCGTTCGTTATCACGGTCTTTCAGAACCTATCATAGATGAAATTACCCAGGATAACTGCAATAACACATCTGAACAGAAGATTAAGCTCTTTCAGAAATGGCACCAAAGGCATGGGATAAGAGGAGCCTACGGAACCCTAATAAGCAGCCTGAGAGATTTAAAAATGCGTGCAATAGCTGATAAAATTGAGGAAAAACTAAAGGCAGCTGTTTTAAGCCACCAGGAAAGGAGAGAGTCTTACGATGACAAAACTGGGCAAAGCAATTCCTGCAGTCAGGAAGGTGGAAAATCTTATCATGATAATGCTGGAATAAGTAAAACCTACCCTGAGAGTTTGGAAGAGACATAGCATAGAATTATATGAAAATTATTTCTGACTGAATTAGTATTTTTTTACTACTACAAATAACAAAGCTTCTAAAAGCCATTTTGTTGGCAGCTCAGGGAGTTTTTCAGAGTTCTTACAACACAAGAGAAGAATAGTTTGGATTTTTGTAGAGGTATGTTTCCTTTAAAAAAAAAAAAGTCTTAACTGTTTATTTTGATCGTTAAAAGAAGGACAGCTTTATCGCTTATTAAAGGTAACAATAGAAGAGTTCAGCTATAGGACTTGTTACAAAAAGAACGAAGCAGTCACTGGCAGAAAGGTTTAACTCAAATGTGGTAGTCCTGAACACTGACTCAGTGTAGTTTTTCAATTACATTATAATTATGGGATGTTTTTCAAAGTGAAAAGTCTGATGTTAAAGGTCTATGAAATATACAAGGAAGAATGCTTCAACAACAACAAAATAATAAACTTTTTTATAATATACACCTAATTAATTCTAACTATATAACTTAATCATAGAATGGCATGGGTTGGACCTTTAAGAATCACCTGCCATGGGCAAGGTTGCTAACCACTAGATCAGGCTGCTCAGGACCCCCACTGAACCTTGTTATAACATCTCCAGGGACTGGGTATCCACAGCTTATTTGGACCATCTGTTCCAGTGCCTCATCACCCTTTGAATTTCCTCCTAACATCTAACCTAAATCTCCTCTCTCCAAGTTTAAAACCATTCTTCCTTGTCCTATCACTACCTACCTCTGTAAAAACTCAATCTCACTCCTGCTTATAAGCTTCCTTTAGGTACTGAAAGGCTGGAGTGAGGTGTCCCTGGAACCTTCTCTTCTCAAACCTAAACAAGCCCAGCTCCCTCATCCTATCTCCACAGGTTAGATGCCATCCTCTGGATCCACTCTAACAGCTCCACATTTTTCCTGTGTTGGGGGCCCTAGACCTGGATACAGTACTCCAGATGGGGCCCTCATGTCCTCCCTGATTCAAGTGCAACACCTTGCATTTGTCTTTGTTGAACCTCATTATGCTCATGCAGCCACACTTTTCAAGCCTGTTCAGGTCCCTCTGGATGGCATCCCTCTCTTCTACTGTGTCAGCTGTAGCACTTGCTTGGTGTCATCAGCAACCTTGCTGAGAGTGCACTTGATCCCATCGTCATTGATAAAGGCATTACAGAGCACTGGTCCCAAAATGGAATCCCAGGGGATGTAACTTGTGACAGGCCTCCACCTGGACAAAGAGCAACTGAACATAACCCTCTGGCCATGACCATCCAATCAACTCTTTATCCACCAAATAGTTCACCTTTCAAATTATTTCCTCTCCAATTTAGAGATAAGGATGTAGTATGGAAAAGCTTTATATGTCTATATTCATATGAAAGTATAGATGTGTTTTCTTTGTCAAAACTCTGAGTATTAAGTAAGATTATTTCCTACATTCTCTGCACTGATTACAAGCCTATTTTCATGTTAAAAACAAAACAAATGCAAAACCTTCAAAGAATCAGAAATGAGAGATAGAATGGCACAACAAAGCCATTGCTATTTGAAGGCAACCTGCACAAACTGTAAATGTGTAGCAATCAGCACCATGTTTTTTAATGGAGAAACTGATACAATACAAATTTCATCATAATAAATTTTTAAAAATAAATCATTTTCCTTCCTTCCTATTGTGTTACATATGTATGTCATTTTTAAATTTTATTTTATCCAGGCCTGTAAATCACAAACAGGGAGATCATTCTCCTAGAGAAGAAGAATAAAAAAAAAAAACAACCAACCAAAATCTTACCTTCCTTTCATTGCATATTCCAAAGGGCTCCTAAATTCAATGATCAATTACACTGAGCTGCTTTGTAGTGAGGCTTTTCTTGCTCATGTACAGATTTATACTATCTTTCAAAATCTTTCAGCAGACCACCTTACTGGAAAGGTTAGATTTTTTTTTTTCCCCAGGACCTTTTTTGGTTCTACCATCCATTCCCTAGAAGGAATTTCCAATTAAGCATCAAGCATCAACCAAAACACAAGAAAACCTTCCCCTTCCCAAAAGCTGAAGGCTGGGGTCTGCAATCAGGTTCGATCTTTGCCACCTGGCCCTAGGGTGTGGACAGAGCTGACTGGGTATACAAGCAGGGAGCCAGGTGCTGGGGATCAACCCCAGCTGAGTGTTCACAGGTGCAATAGGGATGCTCACAAAGGTCATGCTGCTGGTAGGACAGTGTTTAGCCCCTGAAAACAGCTGGGAGTGCAACCACAGTTCTGAGTGTTTTGCTAAGCTAAAATGAAGGGTAGGGCTTACATTAGCTTCAAAAACTTACAACTTTTTATAAACTAACTTGTCCAGTGTCTGAAGGTCACTAAGCCTATTTTGTTGCCAAGCCAAACCTGGCTTGGCACTTTCTCAGTTTTCTAACACCACAGAAGTGCTAAGAGCCTGGAAAAGCCTTCAAACCTGCATTAGAGCCTCTTTCCTCTAAATATTCCACTTTTTCTACATGACCTGATAAGTCAGCTTGCCAATACTACACTACCAAATTCCCCACAGTACTGCCTTTGGGCAGCCATAGCTGAAAGGTTTAATATCTGTGCACTTGGACGTTTAAGGACAACTCCACAATGTGGTTAAGGCATTGCACTGTATAACTGACTTGTGTCTGTTTTAGCTGTGTACAGATCTGATACTCTGGGACAGTGTGTTACTCATTGCCTGTTTTGTCAGAGTCTATCTATAGGAGAATAAAATGTCTGCCTTTTGGAAAAGCAGAACAGCAGTGGTGTAGGCAATGCTGTAGTTATTTCCTGGGCTGCAGCTATGCAGAAGTACAGCCAAGACAGGAAGGAAGAAACGTTCTATGCTCTAATAGTTCCAATCCTGGTAGGCAGGCTGCTCCCTGTACCACATCCCACCCAGGAAGGCTTACATATAGCTTAAAGGTATGTTGGCATTTGCTTGACTTGAACCTTGGCTTTTCTTGGTTTCTGGCTTCATCTCTCAAAGATGGCATCTGGTCACCAAAAACCAAAGTTCTTAGGGCTTCAGTGTCAGTTAATATAACTGGTCTGAATAAGACAGATCTTAAAATGGATGCACCAAATCTCATAAAATGTGGCAGTGAAATAGAATGTGGATTCTATCTTTCAATACACTGGAATTCCCCAACCTCGGTAAAATGAGGACGGTTAACTTTAAGAAAGTCCCTGAACAATGAGTCATATTCTCCTTAGGAGATTTCTACAAGGCTGAACCCAGGCTGCCATGAACTCTAGTGGTCAGCATACATTCTAATTTTTTTTCTTTACCAGGACATTGTGCAACAAATAAAAGGACTGATAATATCATGAAGTAGTTTTTTCTAAGCACTGAATATATGTCTACACTAACAAGTCTAAAGCTACCTGTCAAGCTTAAAGAAGCTAGATCAAGGACCAGAAGTGATTTAGTTCTGCTGAGTCACTCTAGCGCATCCAAATTTCCATTGCCTCCTGCTTCTGGCCTCATTCTCAAATTTGGACTGCGCAAGAAAATATCACTATGGTGTCACCTTTTGCTCTTACCTTCCCTTCTCCAAAAGTCTGCAGTGAGTTTCATGCTGACGAGATGGCAACCACCACAGCTGCTGGCTGAAACTTATTTCTGATATCTTTATCCTGTGTGCTGCAATCTACAAACAGGCAATAATAAGCTTCTTTCTCCGCAGTGACAACGCTGTGTAAGCAGACAGCCATGTAAAGTAACACTTTTCAGCTCTAAGGAAAAAGGAAAAAATAAAAAATTAAAATAAAGAAAAAGAAAAAAAACCAAAAGTAACAGAAATGGTTTTGACTAATACAACTGTACAGTTAGTAGAAACCCAGCATCAGAAAAGCAAGTGGAAAGTGAAACAGAAATTTGTCCAGGGAATGAGTCAGCATGTTTTGAAAAAGGGGAAGCTCCCTCTTCAGGAAAGGAAAATCTTGCAAAACACCTGCATTTATTATAGAAAAAATAAAAATGGAAAAAAAAAATAAAAAGCAGAACAACTGTTACATTAAAATACCAACAACAGAAGAACAGGAACATAGGAGTATAAAGCCTGAAGGATGAAGTTCAGTCCCCTGCAAACTGAAGATGACCCCATGAGAGATGCTGCAAACAATAGAATGGCTGCTGCAAGCAGACCTAACCTGAAGGACAGCAGCGAGATCACAGTGACAGCCTAGCTAGAAGAAAGCAGGACAGTCCCAGGATGCCTGCATTGCACAGTACTGCTGTAATCGCTGTTTTAAAGTCATACTGCAAGCTGCCAGTTCATGAAAAGGCACAGCAGAGAAATGAAGTGCTTAGTACAGAAACCAAAATGCTTCTCTGCAGACAATATGACAAGCACACTAAAATGCAAGAGAGCCATAGGTTTATTTCCTGCATGGAGGAGATAGAAGGAATACAATAAAAACAAATTTGGAAGAACAATAAAGTTGTGTTGCAAGAAGCCTCAGAGCTGGACAGATGTCTCTATTTTGAGGAAACACATCCCTCTCTTACTGTTGTCAGGACTTTGATTCTGGACTTAAAAGGGGAGCTTCCATTCCTGCTGTCCCACTGCTAGCAAGCGGAAAAGTGCCCTCCGCATGCATCTGGCCTCCAGCACGGAGCTGTGGCTGAGAACTAAGAGAGATGTGGGAACAGTGACAAAACCTAATGCACAAGCACTATGTTCTGGATAGCTTTTCAGTGGTTTTAGTTCCTTTCCAAACTGAAAGCATGGTTTTTAATGCAGACAGTGCTAGAGGGCTCTTTCCCACAGCTTTAAGCCAAGACTTCCTGCTCCCCCAGCGAACCGGTGACTGTGACAGAGTGCTGCTCTTCATTGAAGGCAGGCACAAAACACTCTGATGATGGCAGCATTCAGAACAGAGGGCACTGAACAAATCCAGGGAGGAGGCTGACCGAAAGTCAAGGCAGAAGGGAGCCAGAGAGCAGCGCTGGGGGGCAGTGCTTGGCCCCCTGCATAGTGAGTCTCATAGCACACCAGGGCCCTCCTTGTACCCTGAAAACCAACATATTTCTGATTGTGAACATCTCACCTCTTACATTCGCTTTTTTGGCCTTATATAAGGTGTAGGAAGAAGCAAGACAAGTCTAGAGGCTACGGGTTTGAACAAATACTTGTGTACTTTATGGAGGGGTGTGACTGGATTTATAACAGAGAGCGTTCTCTTTATATAATGGATAGCAGTCACTACATAGTTGAGTATTTCTGAAACTCTCAATCAAATCTCTTCACATTTGAATTCCTCTAAACTTGAAACTTCCAAAAAGCAGAACTTCCCACTGCACCAGAAAGGCAGTGATCAGGGCCTGGTGGGGGCAGCTCAGCAGGTGGCAGCCTGTCACCGCACAGCCCACGTGTGGCCCCTCTATGGCAGGATACTGCTGTCTCATCCACTGGCTGCAGCAGGGCATGAGGCATTGGCCTGGCTGTGCAGAGCCAGGCTGGGTTAGTTCCAGCTCCTCATGCTGCTGTTGCAGCCACATCCATATCCTGAGGACACATTCCACCAGCATGCCACAGAATGATGCCTACTGGCTTGTCTGGTATGAGGATGGGCACTGCCTGGCTCCCTTTCAAGTTGCACAAGCATTAAGTGGCTTAAGGAAGTCCCACGGTGCTATGCCAAGCTCTACAGCAGCACAGCAATGAATGGTATCACTAGATTTAATGCTAACGACACATGGAAAGAAAATGTAATAGTAAAATATTCTGGCTGCAAACAGAACACTCCAAAGCCTGGAATTGGCACCATTAGTGAAGTACGTGCAGCACTACCTGTGCCAGCATGGATGTACGCTGCAGTGAAGCCTTAATAATTGTTCACATATAAGCCAGCTGTGAGTCATTCACTCAATTGATGCCTACGCAACATACATGCAAAGGCTGGTGTTAGCAGCAGCTGAAAAAGTCAAGAGAAGAGGGGGCAATTGTCCTGAAATCTGCCCCTCCTAGGGGCAATCTTCTTATCATTACAACTAAGTGGAAAAAGAATCTCGGGAAGATGGGGAGGAGAAGGGGTGGGCAGTGACAGTTTGGAAGAACTGGCTTATGAGTAACAACCTTAATTGTTACAACTGCTATTGTAAATGGTTTTTTATCTTCCTTCCCTTTCAGATTGGTAAGTTATCCTATCACTTTAAATAACCCTACATTAAATGCAGTTTTGATTTCTGTTCTAGCAATAGGAACTTTGGGAATAGCAACCTCAGAGAGCTCACTGCCAAGATTTTTTTCAGTAGTACAAGATCTGTGGCTGTTGCTTGAATTAGAAAAACTGGAACAATCATTACTGCTTAAAAATATACAACTCTGTACCAGGAGACATCAGAGCTTGTGAAGTACTCCACATATTATCCTTTTTGTTAGCATAAATAATTTAGAAAGGAAGCTTTTTCTTTTGTGGAAGCTACACAACTCCCTTTCTGAGATATTTCTCCTGAGAAAGGGCCTTCTTGTAGGAATTCATTCCAATTTCCCTGCAGCACTCAAAGGCCTTTCCCTGCCATCAGACGTGCTGCTATAGGAAACTTCCAAACACCCTAAGAAGAAAGTAATGAGCAGTGCTACTTAGCGCAGTGTAAGTAACAGGTTACAGGGACAGGAACTCAGGCACCCTTTTGGAAAGCATGTGTTAACTAACTTCTTGAACAGTTATGCTAACAGGTGATTTCTAGTCTCCCTGAGCTGCGCAACCCCCTGCAAGGTACTTGTGTCTCAGTGTCTATGGAGTGCAGGACAGCATCACATTTACCTGGTGACCTGCAGTGGGACTGCAGGGGAGAGCTAAGGAGAGTGACAGAAAATTTGTGGGGCTGTTTCTCCTTTCCTCATTACTTTCCTTTTCAGTTTGTGAGACTCTATTAGCCTGCTGTCAGTGCAAATTCTTAGGCTCTTTTTTATTTCTTTTTTTTTTCATTTGGGAATGAAAACAGATGAGTGAATTAATGAGTTGGAATTTTGAGGCTAGACACAAGGTAAGGGTTCTGTTCTGAATAGGGGCTGAAGTCAAGTCTTCCAGAGAACAGTTCCCACCTCTAAAGGCACCCCTACATACATCACAAAAATATGTACAGATCCTCCAGGAAATTCAGTTTTCAATGTCCCTGAACTCACTGAAGTCCAAACAAACTACCAGCAAAATGTGCAAAAGCATTTTTCAGAAGGAAATAATGCTTTCCTACTTTCTTCTCAGCTGTGGATCTATTCCAAAGAAAGAGGGTCATTTTTTAAATACGTGGAGGAAATGGTTCTTCCAACTGTGACTGAAAATGTTGCTGGTCAAAGTAAATCAATATATCGGACATAAACCATCTCCAGAAAATTTCAGCAAAGAAAAGTAAGCTTTAGAAGCTGTAAGTAGTTCGAAATAGGAATTCATGTGAAATCCTGCTTTACACGGATTCAAGACAGCAATTGGATCAAAGGGGCAAACTGTCACTAAAATCAAAAAGAGAAGTTTTTTTTCTAGGCAGCATTCCACCCGAGGATCTAATCAGTCATCAACTTATACTGTTAACAAATCTGGTCAGACTTACAGAGTGCCTTAGAAGAAATAAATCTACAGGGGGAGTCCATGACAGAGACAAAAAGCAAAAGCAGGCTTCTTGAATCTAAAAATACTCAAATAACCTTCTAGGATTAAAAGTCCTATTCTAAAATGGGATAACGCTTATCATATTAGTGTCTGGCCACACCACCAGACACAGAAATGCAAGTCAAATGTTCTTCCCCATTCTTCCACTCTAACTGTACACATACTGGCACAGTAGATTTTAGAACTCGTAAGCTGTGGCAGGACCTGGCTGGAATCCCCTTCCTTGGTTTAGAGCAGAAAATTCCATTCAAGTTACCCATCTCCCAGAAGCATAAGCCTGGGCTATCTGAGGACACCTCTTGAAGCTGTTCCACCATGTCTAATCAAGTATTCATTGCTGCATACATAAGAAATTGATTCTTTCTATTCCAGGGAATTCTTATTCCTGTATTGGGTCACCACATTATTGAGCAGTCTGCACGCTGCAGGTAAGGTAGACAGAGAATTGTCTGGTTTGTGAACCTGCTAAGCCGCAGGGGATCAGCAGCTCAGCACTGGGAACTCACTTTTAGACACTGAAATATGAGGTATCTTCTTCTGTGGACCTAGATGTAATTAGGATCAGATAACCGTTGGTAGCAAGAGGAAATAACTTGCTTAAAGGCAGTGTTTTACTAGAAAGTTTTTTACTTTCACACACTACACTGTTCTTTGGGATTTTGGGGGTGTTTCTTCTTTTGTTTTGTTCTTTTTTTTTTTATTTAAATAAGATATCTGGGAATTTCTTCTTTGACAATTCAATATTGTTTATAATATCAAACAGGAAATTAAGTCTTCCAGCTAAAGTGAAATCCAGGAATTTTTCCTGTTGAACAATGAAGTCTAGTGCGAGTTCCTATTTAGAAAAAAAGAGCTGGAAATTCCAGCCTCCTTAAAATAAACACAGAGAACCCTGCCTTAAAAGCTGTTGGTTACTTTCTCAGAATCAAAGAACTTTGAAAGGTCACTTATTCCAGTCCCATGTCTCAAAGCAAGATTAACTAAAATGCTTTTTCCTTATCTCCAGAGATGGAGACATCAAATCTCTCCAGGAAATTCACACTGATGTTTCACAATCTCCACTGTTAAGAAGTCTCTTAATGTCAGGGAATCCTTGGTGCAGTTGCAGTTGTCTATACCTTGCCGTATCTACTATGATATGGAGAAGAGATTGTTCCTTTTCCTTTTTACAATAGCCTTTTACATAGAGAAGACTATTTATGTCAATCATCACGTTAGGAAAGGTAATAAGCACAAACTGAAACACAAGCAGCTTTGACTGAACATAAGGAAAAACTTCTTTTCTGTAAGGGAGACTGGAATGAGTTGCCCAGAGAGGCTGGAGTCTCCTCTCCTGGAGATATTCAATACCTACCTAGGACTGTGTCCAGGCAATGTGCTGAAGAGAATTTTGCTAGAGCAGTGAGGCTGCGTGAGATGATCTCCAGAGATCCCTTCCTACCTCAACCATTCTGTGATTCTCTTATTCTGTGAAGACAAGTAAGGCCAATTGAACAAGCAATTCTTCACAGCATTTTTGCAAGTAATTTAAGAAAAATAAAAGATATAGCATGGCTACATAAATTGTCTACTTTTGCTAACAATCAAGAGTTATTGTAATACTACATTTTAACTCCATACTGTAATTTGCAAAAATGCTGGTATATTATTTATGTCTGTCCTTTCTTTCTTCAGCATTTTAAACACTCAAGTCAGTCAGTCATTTTAAATATAGCTACAATTCTGCAGAGGTATTATTACCATCTCAACAAAGGAAGCACTAACTGCATAAATTCTGCTTAAGTTCCAAAAATAGATACCAGAAAAATAATAAATTGGTTGAAATGAATTTCCTTAGTCCCTCACAAGGCACCTTTCACAAGTATTTTATAAATGGCAAAATCTGCTGTCATACCTAAGTCTTAGCTTATTCCAGCACATTTTTACATATTCTCTAAATACTGATGCATGAGAATCCCCATGGAATTGGTCTCTGTATGAAATTGTTGGCAATTACAGTGCCTGGGATTTGAATTTCCAGGAGAAATTTTGCATTCACCAGGATAAACTTTGTGTTCCCCTAGGTTTAGATAAATGATCTAAAAGGATTCTATGCATCTGCTTCCTTTATTCTCCTGTCATGCTATGGTTCTGCTGAAGAGTACTCTCTTTCCTGCCTCATTCTTCTTATAGTAATGCCACAAATATTCAGTTGGAACTGAAAATGTGTTTCTCAACTTTTACTGAATCATAAAATCTCTGGAGTTCTGTTATATATTACAAGAACAAGATGTTATTAACACACTGCAGTAACCAGAGTCCTTTGACCCCTGCCATTACGCCTTTGCCACTTCATCCATTTCCTCAGTATTTTCTTAGAAGATGCAGCAAGACTATCACCAGAAGAATTGATGTAGCTATGACTTTTCTAAAATAAGTTATTTCCTAGAATAAGTCTATAAGATTTCATTTCAACATAAGCCCTATGCTTCTTGCAACTGCAGCTCTTTGTGAACCGTTTTAATGAATTTCTGAATCATTAATCAGCTCCTCCTACCTTGCTGGAACACTGCAGTCAAAAAAAGTGCTGTGGTCCTAAAGCCTAACTCCTGGTATGCCTTGCCTTAGCTGCCAGCCCCCAGTGCAGCCAGGACATTGTGCCCCACAGCATATCATTGCTCTGTTGGCAGCAGCCACAAGCTGTTACTGAAGCCTTCCAGCGCTCCCAGCTATTCTTCCTTCATGGAGCAGAAACATTAAGAAGGTAGTGAGGTGAAGGTCAGCCTTTTTATCCGGGTAACAGTGAAAAGAGAAGAGGTAATGGCTTTAAGTTGCAGTAGAGGAGATTCAGGTTGGATATTAGGAAAACTTTCTTCTCAGGAGTGGTGATGCACTGGCACAGGCTGCCCAGGGAGGTGGTGGAGTCATTGTCCCTGGAAGTGTTCAAGAAACAATAGAGATATGGCGCTGATGGACATGGTCAGTGGGCCTAGTGGTGATGGGTTGACAGTTGGACTATATGATCTTAGGGATCTTTTCCAACCTTAATGATTCTGCGATTCTAAAGTCCATTATAGTTATGTCTCAGGTCTACAATGGCAAGCTGTTCAGCTAATATACCTGCAATTGAAAAGCGAGGCCCTGTCACATCTAAGTAAGCAGCTAAGGTGAAGTGATAATACAGTACAACTTTTATGCCTATAGAAATACCAAGACAGTAGAACAATGCCAGGAGAAAATCCTGTCTGCTTCCTAAATGAGAGCATATGACTTCTCTCTCTGCAGTAATCTAGATGAACAAAGGCTACTGGAAAACAGGAATCATGTTCCCAAATACCTACTGCATGTCACCCATTTCTGATGTGACTCATGTCCCAGGTTTGTCAGGCACAGACTACAGATTACATAATTAAGACCCTAAAGATGTAATTATTTTGTGATCTGTCTCTGCCCTGAGGGGAGGCTAGCATCAGTTGTCAGATGACTCTGGTGAGCCAGTTTGTTACCAGTATAACTCCAGATTCCAAACAGCCTTTGGAGCACAAGCCCAGACAGGGATCTGATCTGACATTTGGATCTACATGACTGGAGATAATAGTTGGGAAGAAGATGTAGGGAAACATAAGGAAGAACACAGTGCTAGAGAGCTGAAAGCAGTCACATAGCTAACACGCTTCCAGGTAATAGCCCATCAGTTACAGTATTTGCAATAAGCCAAAATAAATCCTGATTCAGCAAAGTAATCCACCAATGGAGTCCACTAATATCTGAAATGTCATTCTATGGGAACTTACAGGCGTGTTGTGGTTTAGATATTAGTAGCATTTGACAACAGTTCATCTTAGCTACCCCTCCACAAATCCACTAACCTGTCAAAGCTCTGTATTTATAGTGGCATTTAAACATCCATGTTAAAATATGCAGAGCATTACTGCAAATGCACTGCAACTGCAAACATTAATATATGTATATTTTGACCTTCACATGTTATTGCTTTATGTGGCCACAGTAGTACAGATGTCCAGAACACAAACACTTGTCAAAATTCACTTTCTACTTCATGATATGTTATTCTTTTTCCACTTGCCTGCCTCACTGGGGGATTAGCAGTACTGGTGACTTAGAGACAATAGATCTCTGTCCAAGGGTTCAAGGTAATATTGTCATGGAGCAGATGTAGGACAGATTAGCTTGAGACTGTAGGAAGACAGTCCTAATAATTAGGAAGAACTATAAATACATAGTAGGGTTCTAGCTAGAAATGTCAGCTGATTAGATACGGGATGCAAGCAGGAACCTACGACTGAGCTGGAAAGGACCTGGCCAGAGTCCAGGCTGAGGCAGATACAGGACAGGGGAGTCCCAAGAGAGTCCCAGACCAAGTCTGTATTTTCACAGGAACACACACTGCTATCACTTGCTGATTAGATGTGCTGCCTAAACAGAACCTAAAGAAGAGGATCTTGTGCAGGCACCACACTCAGTCCAGCACTCCAAACTCAGTTGTGGATTTCTTTTTTTTTTTTCTTTTAAACTTTGCCTTAATATCAAAGCCAAACAATCACAATTTGACCTCCTCTGTTAAAGTCTCCTGCCATATTGTAAAAACCTTCCTTATATCCAATCTAGATCTCCCTTCTTTCAATTTGAAACCATTTTCCCCTGCTCTATCAAAATAGACCTTTTAAAGAGTCTGTTCCCTTCCTTCTTACAGCCCACCTTTTAAATACTGAAAGACTGCTCTCAGGTCCCTCTGGAACCATCTATTCTCCAGGCTGAACAGCCCCAGCTCTCTCAGCCTATCCACACAGAGGAGATGTCACACAGAGGAGGTGTTCCAACTCATGGATCACTTTTGTGGACATCCTCTGGATATGCTCTAGCAGATTTTTGTCTCTCCTGTACTGAGGACTTCACATCTGGATGCAGTAATCCAGGTGAGGTCTCACCAGTGCAGAGCAGATGGGCAGGATCACCTCCCTCACTCTGCTGACCACGCTTCTTTTGATGCAGCCCAGGATACAGTTAGTTTTCTGTGCTCTGAGGGCACATTGCTGGCTCATGTCCAGCTTACCAGTATCCCAAGTCCTTTCAGCAGGGCTCTGATAAATCCTTTCATTCTCCAGCTTATACTAACAGTGGGAGTTGCCATAACCCAGGTGAAAGACCTTGTACTTGGATTTGTTGAACCTTATGAAGCCCACTGCTCATCCTGCCTAGGTCTCTCTGAATGGCATTCCATCTCCCAGGCATGTCGCCTGCACCACACAGCTTGGTGTCATCTGCAAACTTGCTGAAGGTGCACTCAATGCCACTATCAACATAATTCATGAAGATGTTAGAGAGCACCAGTCTGAGTACTGACTTCTGGAGGACACTACTTGTCACTGATCCCTATCCGATATTGAACCATTGACCACCACTCTCTGGGGTATGATCTCACAACCAGTTCCCTGTCCATTGAACATTCCACCCATCAAACCCACATCTTTCCAGTTTGGAGAGAAGGATGTTATAGGAGACCATGTCAAAAGCCTTAGCATCCTGGCATTGGGGTGCTTTCAGCTAAGTCACAGATTTAGGATCTTGAGGCCTTGTTTGTAAGCGCACTGGATGAGTACCAAACAAGAGCACCCAGTGATTGCTCTAACTGCAGGTACCTTCAGGCTTACTCTGTCATAAGGTGGATTTTTCAGTATCCTAGCACTATATGCACCATGCCAATAATGCTTTGCTGTTCCCTAGGGAGGCTCCATGTGGAGTGTCTAGAGGGCAAAGTGGGGTAGTTACCATGCCAGGTGGAGTTAGAGACTAGCAGATTGCCTGGAGAGAACAGCAGGTCCAGGTCAGTCCCTGACAGCTCTGAGATATGGCACAGACTGCAGATATTGCAAGAGGCAGCATACTGGTGTCTGATCCATGGGAATGTGGAGGCTGTATGAGAAGAAAAGTAGATGAAATATTTAAAAAAAAAAAACAACTAAAAAAAAAACCAAACTTAACTGCAAATGAAAGTAAGAAGAAATAAAACAGATCTTAGGTGTCTGTAGTGCTTGATTGCTATTTTTCTGCCTCAGTACCAATGCCAGGATAGAATATTTCCCATACATCTGCTGTAGTAGTGCAGCTAACCACAGCTAATTGTACACATCTAGCTATAGTCAAAGTCCTTCCTTGTTTACAACAGGCACTAAATAATACTTAAATTTATTACAAGGAATAGTCCCTCGGAAATTTTTTTAGATCAAATTTTCCCCATGTTTAGATGGCTGGCCTAACTCGTTGACTTCTATAGCATTATTTTTAATATTTACCAATGTAAGTTACAGTAGAATCCTAACAGGACAATGTCTACTTGCCAAAAGACTCAGACCAGATCTCCAAGACAGCTGGTAGCACCTAATGGCTGCCAGGAGTGTTATGTAACAGCAACAGAAATTTCAGTTCCATCTGTGCATGGAAAGAATAAAAATACAGAACTGAAGACATCTCAGTTTTTGAGATGTGCAGGAAAAAGCCAAAACCAAAGGCTATAATGTGATCATTTACCATGACGCAACACAGGAACAGAACTTCCTATTGCCTAATATAGAAGGAGAAAGGAAGAAAGACAATACATACAAGTCTGATGTCTAATGGGATGTTGGTCCAAAATAATTATAGGACCTAAACATAAAAAGAAATATATATATGGGTTTTGCTTTTATTAATTGAGCTCATTTCAATCAATTTTCCCATATTTTTAAATTTTCAATAAGTAAAACTGCAAATGAAGAGATTTTATTGACTTCCGGAAAGCTAGACTGTTCTAACAGCTGCAGGCACAGCACTTAAAGCAGAAGATAAAACTTTCACACAATAAATGACATGACAATGGCTCCATACGGGCCACAACTGCAAAAACTTGGTTTTCTTCCTCCTTCACTGTTAAATGATGGTGTCAAAAATAATAGCAAAACTGCATGTACAGTCACGTATCTTTCTCCTTCACCTTCCTATTCCCAAATCTCAGGCTGTTTTCTTGGGATGTACTTAACTTTCTACCATGAACGCTGGCATCTCCAGTGCTGAGGACAGAAATGCAGCAGAATATCTGAGCTCTTTTTTGTTGATATACTATAGAGGTCATCAATTCAGTTGCTCTTTAACGGCCATCATATGCCAGCCCTATGCTTTTTCCCTAAACTGCAGCTGATCAGTGTCCAGCTCCTCTGCCTGTCCTCCACTTGGGCAGGAGATCAATGGCTATGCATCGTCACACAGCAAAGCCCAGCCTGTTCCCTTAGCCCTCTCCAGTAAGTCCTACATGCAGCTCACTCCCTGTGTGCTCAGAAAGGACACCATCAGGGACCAGTCTGTCACCAACAGGACAATTGCTACAAGCTACTCCCAGCTATGTTCTTCCTCTATAGTAATTTGAGAGCACTCAGGGACTGAATCAAATAATTGTTCTGGAAACAGAAAAAGCTTGGCAAAGAGCTTCTCAGCCCCTCCTACCTGTTATGTATGCATCTTCTTGCTTGGAAATCACCAGCATGTGCAATTCAGGATGACAGGCAAGATGGTTCTCAGTTTTATTTGTTGAGATATACCTGGAGCAAACAGGAAGAAGAATGTTGAAATGCTTTGCCTGATCTTGAGGGCATCTGCTTCTCACCTGGTGGTGGTGTATCCTTGCCAAGGATCTTGTTCTGAACAGAAATTTTCCACTGATCCTGCAAGGCAGTTTTGGAAGGAAGAGAAATTTTCTTAGCCTTCCCTTAAGGATCTTCATTTTCTCTCATCTATCATAAAATATACTTCTATGAAGTACAGAAGCCCAAGTTTCCATCCTAGTAAGAAGTAGGGGATCAGAAGTCCTGCCTTTCATCCTTATCAAGGGAAAAAAGTTTAATTTTCAGGCACCTTTGCAGAGCATTTCTAAAGGTTTGCTTCTGGAGACAGCTTAGTGTGCTTCTTTGCTCTTTTCCCCAAGGGACTCTCTCTCTGCCTGGCAAATTCACCATGGCATATACCACCAATACATCTCGCAACAACAACTTCACAAAAAGAGCTGATTCCCAGAACTGCTGCCTGGAGGGAATTTGCCAGAGAAGGAACAATAGGCCATTTCCAGTGTCATAACTCTCTTGTTTCCTGCCTTCTCTGTAAAGCATTCTTATGAAGTTTGTACTTTGTAGAAGCAACCAGGCTAGCACCAAGAGATGAAAGAAGAGACAGGATGTGTCTGCAGAGCCATTGATGTCATCAGCTGAGGTATGAGCAGAGCAAGCAAGCACTCTGGAAACAGACGTGAGGAGAAAACGTGATGAGTAAATAAAAGAGGAGCTGAATGATTATGTCATGTTTCTCAGGCAGTAGGTAATACAATTGCTTTACAAATAGCTAGACCACTGTGACAGAAAGCACTTCTATCCTGACAAAAAGCTTCAGATGTCTTGCCAGCAAGACAGAATATGTTCACCCATTATGCAGTAGTGCTAGCCATTTTTACCCTCCTTCCATCATTATTTCTTGACAGGAGAACAGAGGAATCTCCGCTCAAGCTCCTCCACTGCTCAATAGAGCAGCATCTCTTCCTTTCCCTTACAACTATGCATAAAGGTTCTTTCCCCTCTGCCCTTTAAAAACCAAACATCTGGTCAGTCTAACCAGAGCTAGCATCTTCCTACTTCACTACTTCTCAATTCCCCTTTGGAGCAGTTCCACTTTGCTGTGGTACAAGCACTCCCACCTCCAAGTATTTCACTCATTGTGGCTGAAAAAGAGGAGTAAGATGTTGTGAACAGAATCAACCTGCTGAAGGTCTCAGTTGCTGCCTCTTCCTCTGAGCTTGATATGATGTACTAGCCACAGTTTCCATGAGTGTTCACATGGAAGTGGTTTGCTTTCCTTTGGCTGCCTGCTTGAGATTTGCTTTCTCTGTTTTCTTCCTTTCCTCAGTTCTCATCCTAAGCAAAAGTTTATTTGCAGTGGTATGCAGATCTCTCTTTGGCCACTATAAAATCATGCACGGCCTGCATTTCCTTTCTTCCTTTGTCTGAGCTGTCTTAAAGCTAGGTGCAAAGACAAACATCAGTGCACTGCCTAAGTGCCTTTTCAGCATGACAGAAAGAAAGAAAAAAAGTGAAAGAAAAAGCTTTCTCCTCTCTCTTTCACTCTTTCTTTTTTTCCACTGACTTAGCATAAGGCTATTCAAAATCATCAAACAGCTTTTTAATTCCCTCCTACCACATGCTAAGCAAGACAGTCTCTCATCTTCTTCCAGGATATTCCACTGCCCTGCCCATGGAGTTGTAGGAGCACATGGCACAGCAAGCCCTGCATAAGGCTGCTCCCTTTCAAGGCACAGGGCACCGTGGCACCCACACTTTTCAGAGCTGCAAACTAAACCTCACACCACAGGCACAGTTTCTGCTGAGCCCCTCTGACTTTCCTTGCACTTCAGGCTCGAGTTGGCCTCCTATGTGGAATTAGGGTAAGAGCAGCTACGCGCTTCAAAACCCTACTTTTCCCTTCCTGGATTCCAGTGAGGCAGTAGACCTGTGTCTGCATAAGTAAAATGTGAACAAATAAATCCATTTAAACATCACTGAAAAAAAGAATCATATTTTGTAATGACAAAGGTAACCGCTAGTATCATGATGTTATTTTCCTTTTCCACTCAGTAAAGTCACTAAAACTAGAAAAAAAACAATACTAAATTCCTTTCTAGATAAATGAGAGAAACTCTACTGAATTCAATACTTCTGCACGAGAAAACTTGATGCCCATGTTGCTTAAACTTTTAGACTGGCACCTGTGTAAATTGTCAGAACTTGAATGCAAAGTCCAACCATTGCTGAGAATGTTCAAGCTCTAAGCACCACATGGAGCAAACAGATCAAACCCAATCACTCTGCAAAAACTGCAGTGAACAGTACTGGGGGCTTGACCTTCACATTTTATAAACGTTTTCATAACTTAGAGATTCCTGTAAGAAAAATTTTTGGTTGCATATTGACGTCATGACTTTTTCTTTTTTTAATTAATGCAACAATTCATCTTCTGTGCTATTTTTTTCACTCAAACTCCTGCAGAATCAGAATAGTCCCTGATGAAAAAAAAAAAGGAAAAAATAAATTAGATACAATACTTGTTACAAAGTTAGTACTACCTGAAATACTGCATCTACTTACTATTAATAGGGAAGCTATTAGAACATTTGGTCAAAGGTCAGGAAACAGCAGGGGCTAGTTTGGAAGTTTGCTGTAGTGAATTAATAGATACTAATGGAAATGTGATTGGAAAATATTTTTTCTATGTCAAACAAAATTCACCTTACCAGGAAATCTCAGAAGCAGAAGTATTCTATGCCCTGGAACAAACACCCCGGCAAGTCCGATCTTGTACACACTGAATTCAGTGGGAGCTATTCCAGTAGGTTCTCTGGAAATCTTAAACACTCAAATGAAATATAAGCAAAAATAAAACCTTTTTAGTATCAATGTTTTAACAGAATGCTTGACATTTTACTGATTTACACAAGATACTCAAAGGCCTGCGGAAGAGAAATCTCCCTTATCATGCCAAAAGGCAAAAATTTCCCTGCTTTGCATGGGTGAGGATTCCACCAGTGCTGGCACCTTGGAGTGCAGCCATAGGGTAGGGAGGTACATTTGCACAGCAAACAAAGCAGTAAAATGCCTGGGTTTTGTTCTGAACCATGAACCAGTCACGACTTACATAAACTCCCAATTCCATGCAATTACACTCAAGTTTCCTCCAACTCCCAGAATATAAATGGTAGTCACAAAGCCTTTCCTACCACATACCTGACAGCCATAGCCCAGAACTTCACCTTCAGACCTCCCTGAAGCTATTGTGCAGCCAGGATCCTTAAAGAGCCTGCAGTATTAGTACAGGTAACAGGGTGCCAGCAGTTGGCAGGCAACTTGATTTTTAATTTGCATACTTTTTCTCAAAATTCTGTCTCAGCAAGCCAATCTGGACATACCATTCAAATTTTAAAGAGCTACAAGCATTTTTCTTTACAGATGCCCTTATAACTTAGCTGGCAATATGTCAATAATGTTATGTAAAGATGCTACACCTGCCTATTTGCCAACAGAAAACTAGTTGAGCATGAGCTACCGTTTGGACACCAAATGGTGAAACTTCTCCTCAGTCTCTGTTCCTCTATTCACTTTCCAAAAAGATCATGCCTGTGGTCTTGGCAGATGCTTTCCGTTCTATTCCTGAACAGAGATCTCTATTCCTGAGATCTCTATGGATCTGCTGTGGGCATAAATGTGCATTTGTAAGAGAGGCAACTATAGATTCTGTGGCAGAGAAGCAAGAAGATACTAAGAAAAGCTAATAAGAAAGTCATGGAACAATTTCTGCACATTCCATTGCCTTTTCAATTATTGCCATCAGAAAACATTTGATCAGTGGTTCATTTATATTAATCTATCACACACACAAAATAAGCAACACAGAAGATTGAGACCAATAATGAATAGAAGTCAGCAGACCTCTGCAGATTCAGGGCTGTCCCCAGAGCTAGGCTAGTTATATAAAAAGACGAAATTCAAATTATTCTACTCTATGCAAATAAAATCCAGCAAAATACCAGAAATAGGCTCCTTAAAGTCAAAGGAAAACATCATGAGACAAGAAAATAGGCTTTCAGAATGACCATGCTTACATTGCTCGTGAAGAAACAGATTCTGTGGCATGAAGAAATTCTGTGGATGACCTTTGGCCTCTTCAATTCTGGAAAGACATATACAGACATCCCAGCAGACTCCTCCAACACCAACATCCCCACTTCTCCACAGCACCAAAGTTTTAAGGCCCTGCTCTCCTGCAGATGAGAGCTTCTCAGCGCTCGGCAGCCTCACCAGAAACAGCAAGGCAGAATGCACAGTACTGCCTGCATAGCTGGAACAGTCTCTCCTGCAGCCCACAACTGTGACCCACACAGGTTTACAGCAAGGACTTCTTAGCCCTTACCATAGTTAACCAGCTCACAAACACTGATATCTGTTTTGGTGGGAAAGTTGTCCAAAGCAGGCGTTGAGAACACTAAAGAATTCCCCTAAATCACTTCCTCCGCTCCACTCCATCCTCCACTTCCTCTGCTCCACTGCAAGGCAGTAAAACTGCAATCCGATAGCAATTAATGCAGACTTACATGATCACTCTGCCTCCTGTATAGTACTCTGTCTTTCTTTGACATTGTTGCTTCTCCCAGTCAATTCATGCCCACTGAATAACTTAATGAAAATCTGACAGTAGGATTCCAGCCAAAGCATGTTCTCCAAATGGCACAAAACCAGACAATAAAAAGGGATATTTTATAATGAAGAAAGAGTTATGGTGCAAGTTCATTTAGATTTGACATCAGGGAGTCCAGACATAAGCTACAACCACAGGAGACTGGCAAAGAGACTGGCATCCCATTAACTCTTCTGCTTGCGCAATGCTGGCAGCTGTGCCTTCAGAAGTGTTCAGTCCTTTGGTTATTTGTCTGGGGAAAGTGGGTATGACATCATTACAGGAAGTCCAAATAAGCTGATAACCTCACTGTGTTTTCACACCTGGGGAAACTTGCTGTCTTTTAAGAATCTCAGGCCACCATCAGATTTGCTTGAAGCCGGCTAAAGCATGAGTGGGAAGTTGCCGGGAAAATGTTGACACTGTATAACAGATGACTGTATTAGTCACTGACATTATTCTGTTTAGACAGAGATTACCAAAATATAACAGCAGTAATTTGTTAAAAAGTAAAGTTAGTGCTGGAATTGTTTAATGAGGAACCAGCTTCTATAAACACAGATTTCTCAGGATCTTTATATAATTTGTATATAATTTGTCAGGGCACTACAAGCTTCTTACAGATGGCTGTTCAAAATGCAATGATTTAAGCATTACAGCATTAGGGAAAAGTCACACACTGTACAAAAAAAGCTTGAATTACTCTCTACAGAAAACTTATTTCCATTTGTCAAGCTCCCATCTTCCTCTGCCTTTTCTGTCCTGGCATTCAGTAACTAATCAAACTTACATTCAGCTTTCTGTGCTTCAGAGGAACTCATTGTGAAGGAGAAGAGGCACTATCATGATTCAGTAAAAACCAGAAGCAGTATGATTATCCATCACTGCCTTACGGTTTTTCCAGCATCTGTAGGAAAATTCATACTGTAATTTAATACAAATCTCTGGTAGCAACAGGGCCTTCAAGTAGCCCTGCTGAGGCTGCCAGTCACAGACTCCTCCTGGCACACTGCCCCAGGCCACCATGGCAGACCACACCAAGCCATAGCAAAGTCAAAGCACTATAGACTGACTGCAGCCTCCATTCCCCTGCACCACTCAGAGAGAGGAGACAGGACAGGATTGGATGGGCTGACAGCATTTGTAGTTTTCTTTTAGTTCTCAGTGCTCTAGTTTGTAAGCAATACTCAATAAAGTACATTCATCTCTCTACGTTAAGTCTGTTTTGCCCGTGACAGTAATTGGTGAACAACATTCCTGTCCTTACCTCAACTCGTGAGCCTTTTTCATCATGTTTTCTCTCCCAGTTCTTTTGAGCAAGGGGAATGAGAAAGCAGCATAGTGGAACTGAGCTGTCAGAGTGACAACACTCAGCTGTGGGCCTTTGTGTAGCCAGGTTGGGCATGTCACAGGTGGATCAGAAAGCAGTATCCCAGCAGCTCCAAAACATCTGCTGATTTGCAGCCATGCCAAGATTTATGGCGCAGGTGCCATCCATGTGATCAACATTGCCCTCAGGTCCCCTAAGCTACCTATTCTTTTTTTAAGTCCTCTGTTCTTTAAACACAGCTGTGTGCTGTTTTTTACATTTCTTTTCCCTCCTTCATATTTAATTTACACCTAGATCTTGACCTCAGATGTCTCCCTGGATTGTGACTTTGAGTTACTTCCATCAGTCCCCTCCAGCTCTTGGTTTCACAATCAACATCACAGCACATTGATGCTCAGCCAGAACCACTCCCCGTGCCACACCAAGCCTTAACTTCCTGCTGGATCTCGTCCCACACCACAAGACCTGCTCAAGAACCAGGCAGAGCTGGCAGACCTGTTCGTGCCATGGTGAGGCACCTCTGGGTAGCAGGGTCTCAGCAAGAGATGCAGTGTCAAGCAGATGGTGCCTGACACAGGGTGCAGGACAGCATGTAAAGCCAGAGATGGCTGCTCCAAGTGAGAGGTGTCTTGCTGCTGGTCCTGAAGAGACTCTGAGGACTTTACAGGATAATCCTGGGCTTTCCTGCCCTTCTCCTAAGGAGAAAGGATTTGTGCAAGGTGACTGTGAGGTGACCTCACAGCTAGAGATGGCCCACACCGACAGCATGCCGCTCCCCTCTCCCTGCGCCACTTGGCCTCTGTGCCTGCACAGCCTCTAGAGTAGTGCTACAATCCCCCAGGAAAACTCCCTGCCTGGACAGCAGGCTTCATTGACCCTCTGAAAATACCTCTCTCTGTTCACATAACCTGGATCCCTATACGTGGCTTGTACAAATCCTGACATTTGTGAGGGCTGTATATTGCTAGCCTGTGAAAAAGATACTTGTGGAATCTTCTTCCTTCATTGCACCACCCTGCTCCTTGATCCATCTTGCTCACACGAGGATCACCAAAGCTATACCAAACTCATACATGTTCCAGAAAAGCAGCATTCATTTTCCCCCACACATACTCCATGCAGGATCAGCACTGCTCAAGTCGATTCATTAAGTACTTGCCACAACAAAAGGTGTCCAAGCAGATAGCCACAGCTCTTTGAGTGAATCGATAAAACATAGAGCTGACTGGGAGAAGATAACAGGTTTTATTTTCTCACATCAGGAATACAGCCAAAGCTAGGTAACTACTAGTGGATGATCTACAGCTACAGAGAACAGTCTGGAAGCCACCCTCAGACCACGAAGATGAATCATTCCGTGGCTATCATGAATCAGGACCCTGTGACAAGTGCCCTGAACTCTTGCAAAAACACATCAAAAGGGAGCAGCATGAGGTGAGACAATATTGAAGGCTATGTGAGATGTAGCACCATAACAAGATCCCTGGAGCAGTCATCTTCACCTCTCCAATACCTTTACTTATCTCTGTTTCATGGACCCAACCAGTCCAGCCCATGTTCTGCACAACTGGTTCCATGATCTTGTGAACCATCAGCAGGCCGCGAGACTTATTTTATCTCTGAGTATCAGCAAGACTCCATCTGGAATTCAATCCAGCATAGTATCTCTGCAATACCTGAATACCGTGTGCAGCCTAACACCAAATAAAGTCAATAGTAAGCAACACTTTTTTTTTTTTTTCTTTTTTTTCTCTACAGACAGAGGCTGTCAGAAGCTTAGACAAAGATCCACACTGTGGTTTTGTGGCAGCATTCACCAATAGTTTTTGGAAGGAGGGTAATGATGAACACTACTTTAACAATGACAAAATCAGAATAATTACTAACATTGCTTACAAAAGCTTTTTCCTGAGACAGTAATTGATCTGAGAAACAGAAGCTGAACCACCAAGGAAACTGACCCAAAATCCTCATAAGAGAACAGACTATACACCAGACAATCTATGACAAAACACATCCATAATTCAAGCCAGCACAAAACTACCATTATCATATGATTTTAATAAATGGGCCAAGGGAACATAGATCCACCTATAACCACACCTTACACCATCCCAGTATTTTTCAGCTGGCATACCCATTGTGCACATTTGTTACAACGGTTTGTCAGAGCATGGTCTCATTGTTCTCTGGACTTCTGCACAGAATGTAGATCCACATCTTTTAGCTCTCCTTTTTCAGCTTAGGCAAGATAAACAACCATTCAGTGAGCATCCACATTCTACTTCTCCTCCTGGGGAGTGAGTTGCAGACCAGATCTTACTGATTCAACCATTAACAGGCAGGAATCCCTAAAGATGTTGCCTGGGTTTTGAGTTTGCCAGGAACACTACCACAGGCACTAAAACACTCTTTGTCCTATGAGA